ATCCTATATTTGCATACTATTTAGATGTTAAGGGTCATCCAGATAGGTGAAGATTTGGAAAAAGATAAAAAGAATGATTACCATCTGGACATCATTCCACATGTTAACAGGCTGTGACTGAATCTGAAATAATTCACAGAAACAAAATTTAAAGAAGAAATAGGCTCCTCTATATTGCAAAAGACTAATGGTTAAGAAACTTGGATTACATTTTTCTCTGAAATATGAATATCAGGATTATTTTGGGGTTTTATATAATCACTTCCAAGTACTGCAAAGTATGTGATATTAACCTTTTCTTACAGGACAAAACTCTGGGCAAAGAGAAAGCAAACTTCCCTCATTACAGTCAAGAATAATGAAGGCTGAGCCTGGGACAGTTGAATTCTGGGATGATGGATCTATCTTCACATTCTTACATTTAAATTATTATTAATTCAACACTTGTCTAACCATAAAATAACAACGAAGAAAAGAAATTCAGTATATTTCCTGTCCCAAGCTCATTACATTCTGCCACACCTATTCAAACACTGGATGGTTTCCCAGATGTGCACAGAATACAATAAACCACTATTTTTTAAAACACTGAGCTGCAGAGAAAGATTATCACCTAAATCAGCTTAAAGTAGGGCATGTAGATGAGTATCAAGGATAATAATCTTTTTAAATAGCTAGGAACTATACTGAGTTTTGGGTTTAAAAGTATATTAATATTCAATAGCAACAACTTGGTTTATTGCACCTTAGAGTAACATTTTGAAACACTTAAAAACAGCTCGGCAGTTACATCACTTCTATGAGGCCACTTATTCTAATACAGATTGTAGATACACGAAATGTTCACAATATTTTACTTAGTGCCTGAAATTTAATCTTCTTTGAACAGAGCCAAAAATCAACTGCCTGCTATATGGTCCAGTCATACTAGTTTATTTCCTAGTGAGTGGATATATTTCTTTCCTTCCATTAGGATGGACCACATGATAGAAGGATATGCCTTGTTGTCATTACTGAGCAGCTACCTAATTAATTTAATTTATTCTTATGAAGAAGCATCTGCAAGTATCTGTGTATCAGCAGTTATAGCAGTATGCAGTCTGCTGCCAGAGGACCAAGCCAATAATGCATCTGAGAAAGCAGATGGTCATTTATTGTCCTTTCCCTAACACTGAGGTAGACAAAGAAAGGACTCATTCAGAACTGGATGCACTTAGTCTAGCTTGGGCACACTACCACAGGACAGAACAGCAGCCTCACTGGATGCCATTTTTTAAGCCAGATGTCATCCATTCTGCTACCTTACAAGGGGCACAGTATGCCACAAAGCTGAGGATAACGCTTTCTTCACAATTACTGCAATTTCTTAATCTCCAAAGAAATATAACAGTTCATGAACCTTTCCTTCTTCCATTTTGCTCACATCATGTTTTATTCACTAGTAGCTTTCACAAGATTTAAAATAGCTTCAAGCTTTTTCGTTTTATTTTTCCATACCTTAAACTGCAGGAAGCAGAGCCCTTTATATTTCAGAAATTTCGAAACTTTTTTCAGGAGAACTTTAGCTCAGATCTTCTATTCCAGCACCAAAATGCATAGGTCAAACTTTTGTAACTGCAGATCAGCCCATGGCTATGTTATTACAAAATCAAGCTGTTCATATAAAAAATTGCCTCAACTCTTGACCTCCACTGGCACTGCAGAATGATGCTGTTTGGCTGCCAAAGATCATCAACAACTGTTGAGATGGGTCGTGTTCATCACCTAAGAGAGACATCCTTTTGCCTAAATGAGTATTCAAACAAACAAGAAGATAATTGTGAAGAGAAAGAGAAAACCTCAATTTGGAAAACAAGGAAAAACCCACACCAAACAAAAAACCCAAAACAACAACAAATGAGGCAGCTGCATAAAACCCTCACTTATCAATAGATACAGGGCTTAAATATCTTGCAAATCTTGAGTAAGTGAATGTAAGATGATAGAACGTGAAATTCTATTTGCAACTAAGCCTTTATGGTTTAGCATGGCTGTAAAAAAGCTGAGAAAGAAGCAAATAATTATACAAATAAAAGTTGCTATGATGTGAGAAATTGAAGGAGCTACATTTATGAGCATAAATATTAGACAGATTTAATCAAAAAACAAACCCACCCATGCTCTCTGTGACAGAGGTCCTATCCTTTGATGGAGTGTTCTGGACACCACAGTTATATTTGTTTTGGCTAATGAATAAAAAAATTAATGCACACTCTACATTAGAAAATGAAATAAACCCGGAAAATATTACATCCTATGAATACTTTACAGGTGATTGTGTAAGTAAGGGGAATTATTCAGTGCCTCTGAAGATGGTAGGAAAGTTATCAAAGAAGTTATAGAAAGAAACATTAATGCAATTTATAAGCTAAAAGCTATTATTCATTAGTAAGAGTCCTGTAACAGCAGGAAGGTACTACAAATGAAAATTCTCAACAACTTAAAATAGCATATTAGTGGCCAAGATGAAGGGTCTTGCAGTAATGCACAAGGCACAGGATATTACAGCATCCTTTTCTAGTCTTCTGTTTACTGCAATTGTCTCACTAAAATATACAGACATAAGACTCAAAGTTTTAGGAAAAGGAAAGACATAAGAACAGAGTATTGAAAGAAGGTGTAACAAATGCCAGGTAACTCAGTTCAAAGCAGAACAATATAAAAACAGTAAACAACTTCCACAAATGAATCACACCTCAGCTACTCTTCCATCTTACTTTGTTTTTCTATTAACACTCATTCCTTCATTTCTTTGCTGAAATTATCATGTATGGACAAGGATCATCAGCTTTAGAGCTCTTTTCAGTTCTTCTGGCAGCCAGAAGTAAACAGCAACAATTCTGCTATCTTCAATAGAGGCCAAGAGTTCCTGCTAATTACTTTTACTGGCACAATCAGTAAAGTCAGCTAACAAGTGAAAAAAATATTAGAACACACAGATGTGTTTAATTAACCTTATCTTAAATATCATGTACTTGGATTCCTGGATTTAAACCTGCAGTTTTTAAGTTATATTATTACTACCTGCTCTTGAACATTGTTCTGGAATATAGGACACGTATGTCAAAGTTAATTTCTTTTGATACAACTATTAAAGCAGTGAATTCTCTGTATTGGTTCGCTGTGTTCATATGATCAGATTGCTTGTTTTACTGTTTTTTATAATACAAAATTTCTAAGAAGTTGCATTTGTCACAGAAAATTCAGTAATTTTCAGTAAAATATATGAATTTGCTGCAACTTTGTCTAAGTCTAAAACAAAGTAAATAATATTAATTTGGTCACCACAGTCTTTACCATGTAGTATCATAATACTATCCTGTTAAAAGTGCACATTAGCATCAGAAACAGTATGAGTCACAGGACACTGCATACTTTTACAATAAACCTGTCTCCTATGACATGTACTCTTATATCCAATTTAAAAGTGAGTTTCTTTTCTTGAATTAGATGTGTTAAGTGTTAAGAGAAAGGCTCTCAATGGCCAGTTTTGTGCACTGAAGAAAACAGGAAACGTCAAATTTCATGTTCCCACAAAAAGTCTTCAGTCATTGCAGAGGAGACAGCATGAACCAGGCTCTGGAGGTCTGCTAAAGCCAGTTCCCATCCTTTTTCCAGCAGTGAACACTAACCTTGCAAATTCTCATGAACCAGTTTCTAAATGTAAGAATTTACTTCTGTGAAGCTCTAACTAATTTAATAAATTAAGGTTTTTTTCATACTTAAAAAGAAACTTTTCGCATCACTATATAATCAGTAGATCTCCTCTTGAAAGACTAGTGTTTATGTGTGGCTTCACGTATATTTGTTAAACAGCATACTGGATTCAATAGCAAGGATGCCACAGAAGCTTTGTGATATGGAAGCTGGAACAAATACTCCAAACTGGGTGGGGGTGGTTTAAAACCAGAATTCAGATTGTAGCTGCTGTACCTGCCCCTCCCACCATCACCAGCCTGCCCAGCTTCTGGCCTAAAATATTGTAGAATTTGAGAGAATTTTACCAGAATCTTCATCAAGATCCCAACTTCAAAGTACCTGAACTGAAAGCATGGTTTTTAAGAATATGAAATTAGTACTTTTAAAGAATTATTTCTTTAGTTACAACTGAATATTGATACAGCCAATTTATTTTATGACAAAACTGTGGCCTGTAAAGAAACAAGGTGGAGCAGCAGAACAGCAAAAAGTCCAGGAGAAAAAAGCAGAACCAAAAGCTTTCATTAAGGAAACCGCAGATCAATCCTGTTTTGAAAGGGGTGTAATTAATTCAGGGATTAATAAAAAGACTCCATAACAAAGACCTTAAATGCTACCAAAACCAGCTCATTTCCATTCTGAATCTCTCTTTTTATTTGCAAAGACTGGCATTACAATTGAAAAGGACTCAAAATGGAGCAATGTACACATCATTGGTGTTTCATGATGCAACTGATGGAGTCCCTGAATGAATATTGCTTTGCTTTTAAAAAATAATTTAGCAAGAAAATCTTCAACTCCACTATCAATCACAGGTGGCAGAAATGAAAGAAAGAAAAAGAAAAGAAACCAAAACTACTGTCAAATTCATAACATATACATCGTTGGCTGATGACACTTGTTCCAGATGTACAATAAAGCCCACAACACTTTACTACTATGGATATAATTATTGTGAATGGTTTTTCATGTTGATCAACTTGCTTCTGAAGGTTTTTTTGATTGTTTTAAACTTGCATAATAAACATGCAATGAAACATTTCTTGTTAAAGTGTTTTTTGCAGTCATCTTGTTTTCAAACAAAGATTTCATAAAGTTGCAGTGTTGTATCAGAGCATTACCAAAATAAGAGCAAAAGCTAAAGAGGAAGGTAAATGTGAAACAAACTTGATGAGAATAACCTAATCTTGTCCTGAGACACTCTAGTCTTATTAAAAAGATGTGCACAATCAAATCCCTTCCTCCCAAACCCACCAAAACAACAAATAAATATTAACTTGGAAGAAAGGGGAGACATAAAGAAAAATAAATATGATGTCATCATGTACTCATCTTCTGCATAGCTCAACCCACATATAGTAAGGCACTATTTCCCCACAACTTAGTGTCCACGACAATCTTTTACAGTGCTCTGTGAACTACATATAGTTCCTTCCAGGATGATGAAATAAATAGATTTAATGAGTGTTGCTACCATGACACCCCATGTGTGATCTTCTCGACAAGGGCATCATGTGGCAGTTTCAGAAATAAGCTGTCAAGTCTCTTCATATGCGTGCATGTTATGTATAGGGATATCTTTTGTGTGTGCAAGTGGTTGGTTTGTTTTCCAGAGTTCCTGTTATTTTTCATTGTTCTTTACTCCAGTGTTCTCAAAGCAAATACACAAGAAAATAAAAGCGCAGTTGGATCATTAAAAACAGAGCTTTGGTGCTCCAAAAAGCACACAGCTTTGGGGATTTAAGAAATTTGTTAGACATTCCAAAAGGAGCTGGGAAATACATGGACAGATTTTCATCTGGAAATCCTCATCTCTGCTTAGTTGAGCTGGTCTTCATATTGTTTTCGGAAGCAATCACCAGCAGGGAAAAACTCCCAGCAGCGTTCTTGATACATTTTCCATACATAGGATTCCTGAAAGAAAAACAATTTAAATAACATAGCTTGATTCAGTAAACAAGGACCAACCATGACTTTTTCTCTTTTACTTATATACTGCTTCACTTTTTTGATTCCTTGCATATCAAGTTGTTGTATATCAAGCTACAAAATAACATTAATGATTTTAATTAGTTTAGAGCAGCTTTTCAATATTTGTTACCTAGGAAAAAGCACGGGAGAAACACATAGAAAAGAACTAGGTAGTTCAGTTCCTATTGCACACCCAGGAGCAATGTAAAGCTCAGTCAAAGCTGGTCATGAGACAAATACCAGGGTAAGTAGAATATTTTCTATCATAGAAATCTGACTGACTTTTTGCATCAGTCATTTCAAAACATGACTATACATAACATAAACGAAGATGGCCTTTAAAGGTATTTCTTAGAAGAGCACTATTTTCTGAATCAATGGTGATTTTTATTTTTTTATTTTTTATTTTTTTTCAGGTAAGGCTCTATCTCTAGGCAGACCAGAAAATGGTAAAGGATATGTCAATTTATTTCCATTTTAATCCATTATAATTATTATAAAATATTTTAGTTTATTTTTATTTTAATCACATTTAATAAAAATGTGGGGTTTATTATAGAAATTTCATGGTTAAAAGGACATGTGTTATACAAGTTATAACATTATAGAATCACTTAGCTTAGAAAAGACCTGTAAGATCATTAAGTCCAATCGTAAACCTAACACTGCTAAGTCCACCACTAAACTTTGTCCCTAGAAATTATATAGCATGAAGTACTCTTGATTTTCAAATTATCACCTAACAGTCTCAAACCTGAATAGTTAGTAAATATCTGGCTTCAGTGAACATAGGACTGTATGCCAAGAAAAAAAAGCAAATAAAAAAGGCTTTTTAAAAATATCTCAGTTAATATGAAATTCTCAAATGACAAACAGACGTTCAAAAATAGCAAAGCAAATACATAAAATCTGATACTGGACAACGCTGAGAAGATTTATGCAAAGAAGATGACTATAATTTCCTATTACACACATAAGAGTTCAGGAAGAGTAAGCTACATAGATTTACCAGCAAATCTGTAGCTATTTATATGTTGCTCTTCAGGTTTCTTTTTTTCCTGATGCGCAACATAGGAATATTTGCTTAGTCAGTTGCAAAACTATCACTAGAAAAAAAAGGTAGTCTGTAAATTCGATACTTTTTTTTTTTTTAACTGACTATAAGTACACTTTAAGGAAGTTAAAGGAAGCAGTAGAAGTTTGAAAGAATAAGAGTAAAGAAGAAACCTCCAGGTTTCTCTCATGGGTTTCATTTCAAATATATACACAAGCTCTCTCATGTAGACTTATCCATGAACATAGACAAAGATTATATATTAATAATAATAAAGGACAAAGACTATTAAAAAAGAATCAACAGGAAGAAATGATGAGTGCTGCTTTCATAAGATGCTTAAATGTTCTGTTTCTCATTGCTTTTGTTTATTGTCTGTATTTATATTTTGTGAAAGTAACAATTTAAGAATAACAGGTCAGATAACAAATCAGGAATAGAAAGTACTACACAATTTATAATTTAATATTAAGCAACCAAAGTCCTAAGAATTGTTTAGAAGAATAAGAATTAACTTACATACCGTATAGGGAGCTATTAATTAGAATACTCAGCTTTGCCAAGTCTGAATGATTTTATTTTGGAACCAGTCTTATTTAAAAACTGTTGACATTCATACAGTTTTTCAACCTACCTGTCCTGTATGCTCTGTTTCATCTTTGTTAATAAGATACATGAGAAAAAACCTACAAGCAAAGAAAGAGTAATTATGAATATGTTAGGCAACCCACAGAGGGATAGTTATTTTTCAGATATACGGTGATAATGCTGTTCATGAACTTACAAGTTCCAGAGTTCAATTTATGATAATATTCCCAGACACTATATATACTTTCCTGACACTCTTGACGTTCACTCACTGCTCAATGAATAGTAAGCTAGAATGCAAAAGATTCAGTTTGATTTACAGTAAATAGCAACAGAGTTTAAAAGAAGATTTATCTAAACTTTTTAATCTAAAATTGTAATAGCATTTTCTTGCCCACGGGCACCAACTTGGAAGCAGACAGGGAACAGTCACTGGAGCTTTGATTAAGAGATTTCTCTTATTGAAACTATAGGCTGGGGATATTTTACTAGTGTATGTAACTCAAGATCAACATGAGCAGAAAACAACTTGTAATTTTAAAAATACATTGGTCTCGGGGTTTTGAGCTGACAGACACTAGGTGATGATTTCAAAATTTCACTCGTAATAGACATCATCTCCATATGTAAAAATATAAACAAAATTATGAACAAAAATATCAAAAAAACATTTCCTAAGATGATGCACATAGAATAAGCATGTTATTATATGTTATTTGTGCAGTATTTTGTAAGCAGGAACAAAATCCCACATGATGGTATTTTCAATGTATTTTGTTTGTACAACCTGTTTCTCAGGTGGAAGTTCTTTTTAGGGAAGTTTGACTTTACAGTATCATTAATCTGTGCACATACAGTGCTAGTTCATAGACATAAAAGTCACAATCCATCCATTGCTTCATGCTGACAGCACTAGTATAAAATACACTTTGTCACTGGATTTTCACGCATATATCACAGGAGAGAAATAGTATGATACACTGATCGTGGATCTGATAAGTGGCTTTATTTCCAGATTTGAAAAGACCAAGTTCAGTGGTCAATGATCTGCTTGGATTTTCCAGAGGTGGACCTGATGCCCTTGGTCTGATCCCTTCCCTCTCTAGCTCCTTGTTCCAGTTCCCCTACCTCCCCCTTTGTCCCAGGTTTCCTTAGTCAGCCTCAGCACTCCACTCACAGTATTTTGTCCAGTGTAAGCTTTCCCTCTTTTGCCTTACTCCTTTGCTTGTGTATTATTCTCTCCACCAGTCTCCAGGCCAGGTCATACTGTTCCTCTGCACTTTACACAACACATTCACTTTTACACCTCCACAGTAACATACTAAGTTCCCGGTTTCCATCTCCTAACTCACACAAATCTAGTGTGTCACAAACAAACTGGAAAGCAGGTAATGAAGTTTGTTCACTCCTCACTCCTATCCCCCCAGAATTATACATTCAGACAGCACAAGTGCACATTAAAGCCAAACAGTACTACCCATGCTTATGCAAGAGAGCTAATCAGGTACTTTCAGAGAGCAAGGGTCATGAGTTAGTGAGGAGTTCATTTTTACTGTACTCACAAATAATTGGCCAAGTTGTGCTCCTGTAGTGTGTGTGTTTCAAAGCCATGGGGCACTGTGTCAAAGTAGTCATTTCCTATTCCACAGATAAAGCACTTTGTCTACAAGAAAGAATACAGAGCACCTCAACACTATATATAACCCTGTCCCCCTTTGAGAAAAGGCCAATAAAAATGTAACAAGTTTCTTGAAAATAGCAAAGCATCATGTGTAATATGTGCTGAACAAAAAAGCTTTTGTTTTAATGATTGGAACTATATACCTCAGACAAAACACTTGAATAAAAGTTTAACTGCCATCAGAATAGCTTCTTTGCCAGCTGTAAGTGAACAATTATCAGGAGAAAGAATGGCATACAATGGTCAAAGCTCATTTTAATTTTTTTTTTGCTTTAACACTGTAAGTAGCACTCACTGTAACATGCAGCAATATTTACCTCAATGCCTGCTGTGTTTGTCCAGCTGAAACTGAATGTGCTTAAAGTTTAAGTTACAAAACACAGGTTTACAACACTTTCCCTAGATGTTATAAGCATATTTAAACAACAGAATAGAAAACCACCAAGTACAGGATACTTTCACACATAGATTAAAAGAACAAAAGTTACCTGAACAAAGAAAATGAGATCTGAGATGAAGTATAACATGACAGTGTTGACACTGTAGTCTGAAGATCCAAAAGACTTAAATAGCCACAAGCATGTAATTCATTATAATATATAGAAATGTACAAAGATTTTCCTTGTTTACAAAAAAGAAGATACAGGGATTAGTCTAATCTTTAAAAAGTTATGAGAAAAAAAAGGTGTTAGTCTTTTTGTCTGAATTTTTGTCAACTTTTAACTGACAGCAAGAATTGGCCAAGTTTGATCTGGAGGTATTTAAAAAACCTGTACTAGGAACAGGCAAACAAATCCAAAATACACTTAGAGCAGAGTATCAGTTTAGGCAACCTTTGTTTATGTCTCATGCAAAGACATATACAAGATAGCACCTAGCACCTGTCAAAACATAGCATACCTCTTTCACAGGAGGCAGCATAGAGTGGCAAACACCATTCAAAACCTGGATGCTAGCAGAGTTTTCGCTTCATAAAATTGTCTAAAAAGAATGTCACTGGGTACTAACAGAACTGCTTATGTAAGTTCTTATATTTTAATAGATACAAAAAAGTCAATTAAAAAAAAAATCTCAGCTATTATGTTCATCTAATGAACTGAGATGTGAGAGTAGAATCTCATCTAGGATTTTTGATATTGGACCATGTACAGAACTGTATTTTCCTCTTAGTTTAAAATATTATCCACTAACATTTTGATTGAAAACAGATATTAATGAAACCTGAAAATAGGGTATAGTTCATCAATCGATGTTCTTACCTCCATGTCTTCCTTAACTTGTTCTTGCTGATCTCTTAATTCACCAAAAGCATCAATAATTAAACCTAGGGTTTAAGTTAAAATTATTGTTAATGTTCAAGAACAGAATTGTGACAAAGAATGTTTGGAAATCCAGGGATAACTCTGACAAAAAATATTAAACAAGAATCTTGTGCAGAAATTCTAAAAGCAAATATATACTCCAAAGACCAAAAAAACATGTGAAGAAAAATTAGAAAGTTAAAGAAAATGGCTACCAGTCATATCACTGAATCACAGAATGGTTGAGGTTAGGAGGGACCTCTGGAGATCATCTAGTCCAACCTCCTTACTAACACAGGTTTGCCTAGAGCAGGTTGCACAGGATCACATCCAGGCAGATTTTGAATATGTCCAGAGAAGACATCTCCACAACCTGTCTGGGCAGCCTGTTCCAGTGCTCTGTTACGCTCAAAGTAAAAAAAGTTTTTCCTCACATTCAGATGGAACTTCCTGTGTTTCACTTTATGCCCATTGCCCTTTATCTATCTGTTATTCAGCCAGTTCTCAATCCATCTCAGTATCTGCTCATCTAATCCATACTTCCTAACCTTACCTGTAAGTATGTTAGGGGAGACAGTGTCAAAAGGCTTGCTGAAGTCAAGGTTGACAACATCCACATCTCCCCTCATCTACCCAGCCAGTCATTCCATCACAGAAAGCTATGAAGATGATCAAGCATGACTCCCCCTTGGTGAATCCATGCTGACTACTCCTAATAACCTTCTTTTCCTCCACATGCTTAGAGATGACATCCAAGATGAGTTGTTCCATTATCTTTCCAAGGACTGAGGTGAGGACAACTGGCCTGTAGTTTCCTGGGTCCTCCCTTCTTGCCCTTTCTGAAGACTGGAGTGACACTGGCTTTCCTCCAGATCTCAGGCACCCCTCCTGACTCTCCAAGATGATGGAGAGTGGCTTAGCAATAATATCTGCCAGCTCTGTCAGGATTCATGGGCATACCCCACAGAGGCCCATGGTTTGTGGATGCCAAGTTTGCCTAAATGATCTCTGACCTGATGCTCCTTGGCCAAGGGAAAGCCTTCCTTTCTCCAAACTTTATCTCTTGCCTCCAGGGTCTGGAATTCCTGATGGCTGGCCTTTGTAAAGACTGAAGCAAAGAAGGAACTCAGTAACTCTGCCTTCTCTGTATTCTTTGTCATGGCCACCAGTATCATTTGGAATTATAAAATGCGACTTCTGTTTTATTTACAGTGCCAGAGTTCAGGGATTTATTAGATGGCAGATGCAGAGAGGTCCAGAGCTCTGTGAATCCTCTCTCATTATGGTTGTCATGCAGTACAAAGTTCCACTTTCAGAGCTCTATGGAAGTAAAAGGTCGTTTCAGGGAGACACAGAAAGAAGAAGAAAAACCACCACAAGCTCTATGGCTCAGATTCTAAATTATGTATGATTTTCCCTTTTCTTACACCAATATAAATAAGGACTAACTCCACAGTCATTACTGATACAGCTGTGCTGTAAAACTGATGAATACCAGATGAGAATTATACAGCTAAGGCTCTACTCTTCAGCCATTCACAAAATAAAGAAATAAACAGTATGAGATAGGCCACATTAAATTATAAAAAAATTTTGCTCCCTCCTCAAGCACTTTAAAAAAACTTCTTGCTTGACTAAGAGTTATAAACAATTTACCACAAGCTCTGAGTCTTGCTGATTATTTACAGCAGACTTTTAGAAAGGACAATGAGAAGATAGAAACTGTAGTGACGCCAGTATTCTCACAGCAAAGAGCTTTTTTAGCTTCCACTGATCCAGTTAAGAGCCTGTTGATTTTACAGAGACTAGAAAGAACAGAGTATGGATAAAAGCCAGCTGGGTGTGGCTTACTATATAAATCTGTGCTTCATGATCCTCACTGGTTGAATCTTTGGTGTGCAATTACCATAGCACTAAGATCTTTGTGCTGCAAAATAACAATTTCAGTCGATGGGTTACAAACACATACCTTGAATAATTGCAAGCAGGATGACAATCACAAAGAAGAAAAAAGTGATGTCAAAGATAATCCGATAGATTTCATATTCATCTCCTGCTGGATCCTCTATTTCATCACCAATGCCTCCACCCGCACGTACTCCAACATACATATGAAACATGTAACACTAGAAAACACAAAATAAAGGGATACAGTGTTTGTCTGCTGCTAAAAGGAAAAATACCCATTGTTGCAAATTCAGTAATTGGCAGGACTGGTCTATGATCTAGGAACTATACTATGTCAAGTACTTAAGTCATCTTTTTCTCCCCTTTGAGGTTATGTATATTTCTGAGGGAGCTCAAACGCACCAGTGCGGTGCAGCTAACGCTGCAGGGTTTCATGTTCTGTCGTTATATAACAGGTCAGAAAGATCAAAGACTGAACTACCTTAAGACCAGCAGCAAATCATGATTCAGATACAATCGTTTCAGTAATGTGCAAGTAGGAAATGCCATTAACATCACTTCACAGCCATCTCCTTTTCCACTTTCAAAAGTGAATTACTTTCCCCATCTTCAGTGTCTCAAACAGGGAGGAAAAAAACTGTAATTGTGCCATAATTTAATAGAAAATTACGACATCATTCTCAGAGGTCAAGAGCAGGGGATTGGATCCTTTTCTTTAAAGTAGCTTTGTGAACGACAGGCCCAACATTCTTACTCCCTATCAGAAAATAGCAATGACAGTAACTTTTAAATGGTGTCAGTTCCCTGGAAGAGTTTAATATTACATAATATATTGAAATAGATCTAACTTTGTTGTACAAGACTGCTTTTAGAAGGGTAGTAACAGCAACGCGTTTTAGAAATTCTTTGTGGTTTAACCTCTACCTGCCATCCACAACTGCAAAGCCTGGCACTGGCTTAGCAAGTACAAAACAAATTTCAATGTTCTGAGCACAAGAGAGATTTTAGTATTACTGAAACTGACAGTTGAAGATAACCATGGCAATTCTTGCTAAGGGAAACAGACGGATTTCCAAGCTTAGGCAAGCATTTCAGTACCTGAATTAATTATCAAAGTCCTTGCCTGTAACTGACCATCCTCCTAAACGGCTGTAGAATCTCAAGATTCAGAAGTACTATCCTTTAACTGACTTGGTTCAGCTTCACAGCTTTTTCTTTTTCCTTTTTAATTTTTTGAGAAACTATAGCAAAGAATACCATCACATGTCTTCTATCCATTTATAGATGTGTTTGTTTAACATACACAGAGTATAATCTAGTTGCTAGGGATTGTATTTGTATTTATTCCTTTGCCTTCAATTATAGTCTTTCCTATCGATGGCTAATAACATGGCTGTATGAATAGGAATTACAAGAAGATCAGGTCAAAAATATAACAGTTAAAGAAAAAATCCAGAAAGCAAAATAAGACTTACTGTCAGCATATCATCACATTTCATGTCTGGCATATCACCATCTTCACTCTTGTTGTAGAACTTGCGGAAAAAATTGAATGCCACTACTGTATACAAGTATACTACTACTGCCAGTAATCCCACTGTTAGAACAAGCTGGAAAACAAAATTATAGACTGGATATACCACCACCATGGAATTATGCTATACAGTTTTCTTTGCAAGAAGAGAAGGAAACTAACAATAATATATATACTAGCAGAAGAAAAACTTTGTTTTTATCTGTCTCATATCTTTGTAATATATCTGCATATTTTCATGCAAATGTCATGCATTTCATCTGTTTTATTTCGAAGGAAAACAATGCTTTAGAAGCACAATTACAAAGACAAATCTTTCAAAATCTAGTGCATACATACACAATCAAGACATCTATTAGAATTATATAAGCCTCACATAATCAGACAAAAACGTGAATGTTTACTACTTAATATACTACTATTTAATATCACCTATTATGTAATTACAATAGAGTATTTCTGTGCATTTAATACTGAAACAAGCTTGTTTACATCTATGAAATCACATATAAAACTAACTGTTCCTAATATTATAATATCTACCTCAGAAAGGTAGCAACACATGCCCCACTGCTCAACTGCAGCATCAGTAAAGCTTTGCCTTGAGCTGTATGGAAAAAACTGGAAGTGAACTGCAATATCCTGCAAATTGGTATTTCTCTTGCATAGCTTGCCAGACTTAAAAAATTTCTTATCATAAATAATGTCCCCTTACTTCATAAGTAATTAGATAATTTGCTAAAACTTCAGGACTACTCTTAATTTCAGATTTCATAGCTTCTGTAAATAAAGACTTCTTATCATTAAAAAGCTGAGTTTCTCAAACAGTCCTCTAACAGAAGCAGTAACTATCAACTGGACCTGTCTTTAGATGAAACTTGAAAAAATTTTTAACAGCAACTTTATGACACAGTTGCTTGTTACAGCAAGAAACTGTCATACATCCTAGTCCCACTTTCTTATGCTTATAAATACCATTGGCTAGTTGCCCCACTGACTTAAGTTCTAAACTTTACAGTGAAAGAACAATTCTGTTGTCAATATGCAGAACACCTGAGTTAAATCATGAAGAGATCTGCCCTGTAAGTAAAATAGCTGGAAAGAGATGATAGCTGATACCTGTTTGCCATTGTGGGTCACTGATGACAGGATAGTTCGTAATGTCTTGAATCCCATTGCAATGTCAAGTAGGTGAGCAGCAAAGAAAAAATTGTTGTAATGGCCAAGGACTGACATGGTCATGTACCACGCTAGGTAAAGGAAAGACTAACAGAAAAAACCAAATACATCACAAAATAAAACTCATGGCTATTATCTTTAACTTAATTCAAATTAAGTTTGAATTTAGTTAAGGAAATTGCTTGAATGTGCTTTTCTTTAAATAGAAAACTTTTTTTTTTTTTCCCCCACATGGAATTTGCTAGAGATCTTTAAGAATTTTCTCTGTGCAAAAATGTTAAATCAGCAAATAAATAGTTCACAAGACACAGTCAAAATTGACATATTCTAAATTTTAATTTGTAAAAACTAATTTTGAAATTGCCAAACCTTTATTTTTAAATGTTTTTAATGTAAAAAGTTTTCTTATTTAAACGATTTCTTTGTTTATGAAATTCTAAATAATTACATTAAAATATTAAAGTGCTAAGGTGGTTAATGACATGGAAAGACTGCAAACAACAAAAGGAATTTTATAGTTCAAACTACTAAAGCTTCTATTAAAACATGTAAGTATTCTTTAAGTAGTTTACTATTACTACAATGTTAATTTCATCATTTGTGCTATCAGTCCATTTTTACTGCACTTGATGAAATGTACATTTCTATATCAGAAATTACAGTCCCTCCCTTAGAAAAAAATCCCTAATACTGAACAAGCTCTAAGTCTTTACAGATCATGTTGTCTGTACACCTAGAGTTGTTCTAGTCTTACTGATCTAAAGTCAGATTACACTTTTATTCTCCGGTAGTCCTAGTTCTAAAATTGTTACCCCACCATTTTTTCCACCAGTAATATAAGCTGAGTTAGGCAAGCAATAATCATAAGACTCACAAATTTTAGCAATTTCACATACATTGGCTATACCAATCTGATTGTTCTCCAGGAATATTCAAGTGTCCACAAAGTTTATGAACAATATGAAAAATGACAATTAGAATTTAAATAGTCAGGTTTCTAATTCTACAGTGCAGTGCTTGCTTATTGTTTCTGAATAAAGCATATCAAAAGCGGACAAGAAGTGACAGAATAATCTAAAACCTATGTAACTGGGAAAAGACTTCAGCAATGTCTTTCTAAGCCTCCAAGATTTTCTTCATCTATGTGGTAAATTAAACACAAACCAGAATATTTCATGCCTTCCTTTGAAGCACTTGGGTTAACAAGTGTATATTGCCTTCTTGAAAGTGAATATATACATATATGCATAGACATCTATACAGACACAAACATACTCTGATAAACTTACATTATCAGTGAAAACAACTCCTAATTTCCACATCTGATACTTAACATCAATGGAATTTAGCCTGTAAAAATAAATAAACAAACTTCACTTTATGTCAAAACACAATAGGAAAAATGCAACATAATATGTAGGGAAGTGTATTGTCACATAAACACGGGACACAATAGCTGATCTATTTCTCCAAAAGCTGAAATACATCAGAACCTTGTTCTAATTCACACTTCTACTCTGGAATGGTCCCGCCAAAAAAAAAAAAAAATTATAATATTATATATTATAAATATTGTTTTGTATTCATCAAAACTAATGCTGATGTCTATAATGTTATCATAAATGAACTGTCTTTGTAATCCATGGGAAAAAAGATTCATTTTTTTTTAATGTGACCCATCTAAGCCTAAATTCAAAAAATGTCAGAGAATTCGGACCATTAGTTATGATAGCATACCCTGGGTGATACAATTAGATGACATTAAAGACAAAGTGAGGTGAAATGAATCTTGAAGCCTGTGTCCTTTCCTTTTCCCACTAATATCAGGAATAAACATGAATGAAAGAAATGTACATTCATAGCTTTTGCAGAAAAGGACCTTTGGGTTCTTGGTGGACTGCAAGTTAAACATAAGCCAGCAATGCACACTCACTGCAAGGAAGGCTAATGGTACTTTGTGCTCCATGAGCAGGAGCATTGCCAACAGGTTGAGGGAAGTGACCCTTCCCCTCTAACTCAGCATTTGTAAGGCCACACCTGTAATGCTGGGTCCAGGTCTGGGCTCCCAGTTTCTTCCACAGTTTTTGTGTCTTTGTTGTATTAGCCTCCCACTGCTCTCTTCAACAAACTTTCACATTATAAAGACTAATACTGTAAGCTGTTCTCTCCAAATTTTTCCCTTGTAGTTCTTTAATTAATATTTTTAAGTATTAATTCTCTTCTCACTTTATCAACACAAATAAATATCTCAACTTTAGGCTACATTTTTTGCACTAGAATTAAAACCACTAATTCACTTGAAGCATTTTTTTATCCTCTACAGAGAAGTGATACAACTTAGCAAACACAATGTAGACTTGATTTCTTCTTTTTGGAAAGGCTTGGATCGTCCATACTATATCAACAAAAAAAAATAAACAACCAAAAACAAAAAACACAAAACAACCTAGATCATAATTCAGGAACAAATATAAATAATAGCATGAAAAATGTAATTTGTCCTACTTTTATCCTTAAAATGTAAATGAATTTAGTATTCCTAAAGAGAAGAGCTGCTGACAATAACTAAACAAGTGGAAATAATGCTGACAGATGTCATATACCCGTCACATAGTATTTCTGTGCCAGATGTTTATACAGAATTATCTGAATCCTTAAGATGGAACACCAAGAGTTAAACCCTGGCTTATTGAGGTCTGATTTCTGAAATTCTTACTTATATAGTCAATATACCCGCCACATAGTATTTCTGTGCCAGATGTTTACACAGAATTATCTGAATCCTTAGATGGAACACCAAGAGTTAAACCCTGGCTTATTGAGGTCTGATTTCTGAAATTCTTACTTATATAGTCAAAGACACTAACCACATAAACTTAATAGTTTTATTTGAATATTACACTCCCAAGAAACACTTTGTCATTAAAATACCAAACTCCTACTTGTATTATATTACACAGTATTTATTCTTTAGTACAATAAAATATTAACACCATTTTTACACATAAAGCTAAAAGGCAAAAGATTCAAATTGAGCCTCCTGCAAAATAGTACAAACACTACATAGATTTAAATGGAGCTACTAAATTGAAAAAAGCATTAAATCATACCTAGATCAAGACCTCTACTCTGAAGAGTCTACAGTCTATTTTAATTGAGAATTCATTTTTCCTTCTGAAGTGTATTAGTCTATTTGAACAAAAAGGGAAAAGCAGAAAAAAATGTAGCAGAAGTCTTCTGATGTATGAAAGATTTGATCCTTGCTCTCAAATTTGCCCAAGGTAGAACTTTCACACATACTTTTTGATTCTATGAGGAAAACATTTAGATTGTACAATAACTCACTTAGGATCAATTTTTTTGCCTTTTTTTCACAGTGAATTATAGTTATTTGCCTCCACTGAACTTTCACAGGCCTATACATTTAGCTCAGAGCAGGTAAAAGAGTAAGTTATATTATTTATGCTCTATAAAGACAGAAATAAGATAAGCATAGAGACTAATGGTTAATACTAGGGTCTTTTATCTAGTTTAAATAAGATTCACCAGACTTAACAGACTTGAACGTTTTTTAACCATTTCATTTCATTTTGCTTGGTTGGTTGGTTGGGTTTTTTTATGTATGCAAAGGCAACAAATTACTAGGTTAACAAATCTAGAACTTATACAGAATCGTAGCATGCTTTAGGTTGGAAGGAACCTGCGATGGGCAGGGATGCCTCCCACTAGACCAGGTTGCTCCAAGCCCTGTCCAACCTGGCCTTGAACACTGCCAGGGATAGGGCAGCCACAACTTCTCTGGGCAACCTGCTCCAGTGTCTCATGACCCTCACAGTGAACTTCCCACAAGGTGGCACAAACCTTTTCTAAAGAATAAAAGCTGATCACAGTTAACTGGGTGCATTTGATGGCATGGTCAGCAATGGTTTTGCTTCATTATTCCATCCATGATAGGCAGCAACTCTGTGGAAATGAAAGCCTAAGGCTTTGTCTGAGTTTCTTACATGGTGATTCAGGCCACAGTCAGCAGATGACATTTACTGTCCAATTAGGATTGCGGACATAATATTTGTATAACAAACGAAGCACATACACTAGAGAAATAAAAACTACAAGTTTGGGGTTTTTTTCTTTCAACTTTACAAGGGTGGAAAGATGCATCTATAACAAAACTTGCATTCATATCTTGAAATAAATTATTAGAATCATGCTATACTCAAATATCCCCAACTGTGCTATGCTCCAAATACTAGAGAGTACTCAAAGATGAATCTAGCATGCTGCCATTTCATCAAAACCAGGAATGCTTCTTGAACATTCAAATGGCTTCTCCAACAACACTGTAGCACAGCTAAGAGCTGCTGATACAATTTACATCAACCCCAAGTTATAAGAAAATTTTCCAGCCCCAAATTTGAGTTATTAAAGAAATCAAAATTTATAGAAAACTGTACTAGAATGGAAAAAAAAAAAAAAGTAAAAAATGTAAAAATATTAAGGACAGTTTCCCATTCAAATACTGTTCAGTAACATATTCAGGTGGTAAAATGAACCAAAACCTCCTGAAATTTATTTCTGAATATATTATGGTAGCAATTTCTTGCTTTTTTCTGACCCAATACCACTCACTTCTAGTGTCTGGCATATTCTTGTGACCACATTCTACCTATTCATTTGTCTCATATATGAAATACTACAAACAGGACTGCTTATGGACACGACTGTTCATTTTTCCATATCTTAATTTCTAAAGTACATCTGATACAGATAACAAAACAATGATTACATGCATAATACTGCATTGGCCTGTTAATTTCTTCTCATTACCTCGATCAAGCAGCAAAAAGACTTAAAAGAGCATGAGACCATACAGAAATTAAGCTCCAGGACTGTGAATCAAAAAGGAACATTATGGTTTCAAGTTTCACTTGGAATATCATTAGGTAGTATTATTTTAGATTAATTTCCTAGACTGAATGAAATGTGACTTCTGCACCAGTGAACAGGTTGTCATACACTGTAATACTGTAGTCTAGTAGCAGCTGAGTTTAGCAACAGTGAAGGACGGCATGGTGTGAGAATGCACAGTGGGAATAAACGATAGGAAAATTGTGAGACATTGCCTGTGTTATGTTTGGCTGCCACCTGCAGTAGTATTTCATCACCTCCAATAACACCTAAACTTTTTACAGCTTCTTTTTTAAGGCTTACTGCATTCAGCTGTTCCAAGTATAACATAGTAAGTTTTCAGAAGTTACACTTCCCTTAAAAAAAACTCCTCAGTCAATCAAATGATGCTAATGTTAACTGGAAGCATAAAACTCTGAACTATTCAGCGTGAACCATTTTAATGTTTGTAGATCAGAGCTGTTCAGAGCAGCTGCATGGCATTGCCAGCTGAGGAACAACTATCATTATTTTAATTTCAAACTGAAAAATAGCCTTGCAGCAGTATTTAACCTTTTTCCAAAATGACAGACAAACTAAAACTGGGAAGATTCAGTTTTAATTAGTTAGCTCTTCGTATGAACTTTCTTAACAGATGCTGAAATTTTCTGTTAAAGGTCTTTCACATTGTTTCAGGAGGCTAATCTGGCAGAGAAAACAGTTCAGAGAGATGACTCATCTCTCTAAAATTATAAGAAAAATCATTCAAGAAAATATGATCATTCTTACCATGATTATTTTTACCATAATTACCAAAATTAATGTGTTTCAGTGTAGATGTTTAGGAAGATCCTCTGTTAATATTACTATCTGTACAATAGAAAGCATGCTATCAGATTAGAAATATTCATTACTTATTACTGAGTAAACTGGGTAGGAAATATTATCATTTTTATTGCACTGTGTAGAAATAGTGCTCCTTTTACGCTAGGCACTGAACATCAGCATGTGACAAGTCACAAAACAGTGTCAGTTGACCATTATTAAAAGAAAGCAGTGAACCAAACCAAACTAGTGAGTTATTAGGTGTCTTGGAGATGTCTTATCTGCCTGTCTTGGAGGTACAGCATATAGTACAGATTATTACCTTAAGGCATCCTACAGAAACCTTCTGCAAGGATCTACTAGGCTTACGATTCTGTATATTTCTGTCCTATTTGTTTATTTTCCCACATCAGTTATAAGTATGGAATGATTTCTCCAGGGAGAACATGAAAGATGAATGTGATCAGGGTTCATTTAGATTTTTTTTTTTTTTTACATGTATAACATGGAGTAGACATTAGAAATCTAACTAAAATCTGGCATTCTTCAGGCCTGATTTTAAAATTAAGTGTTCCAGCAGCCTTCACTCTGGTCTGTTTTTTCAAGAGTATTCACAGAAACACTATTTTAAATTTCTTCACAAATATAATTTTCTTTTTTTACCAATAATAAAAGTAATAAAAATACAAAATAATTTCTAACCTCAAGTACTTCTGCCACAATATTAAATTTTATGTAGTATTGCAATGCCACAGAGTCCTTTAGCCTTATAACTGTACCCGATTGCTTAAATGGACTCCAGGTTTATTCATCCATCTTTACAAAAGATAGATTTTGAAGATCTATCTTTAAAAAAATCAGCCCTTGCTTCAATGCAATTCTTATCTAGCAGTGGTCCCACTGTCTACCACATATAATGCTTTCAAAGCCATTAATAAATTGTTGCTTTTAAAGAAAGCTATAAGCAGACACGTTATAGCATTAAAAGTCCTTCTGTTAAAATATATTCTATCTATTTGAATACCTTATTTTACAAAGCAGAACTGGAAAAAAAAAATTTGCATTGCTATGCAAAACCCATGGATGCCCTTTCCCTAAGAATGAAAAGGAACGCAATTACTCTAAATGTCTATGGGCTTTTGTTTAGGTCTGTCTCCCAGATGACAGGCAAATACAGAGTTTTGGGGGAAAAAAAAGAAACAAATAAATTGTAAAAACATAAGAAGACCTAATAATTCACCTTCTTAGATTTTACTGGTCACTATCACTTAAATTTAGTCCATCGTTTATTTACAATCAGAACACAGAGTGCCAATTTTGTCCATTCTTTCCAGCTGAGCTGAACTGAGGAAACTATGAAAAGGCGTTTCCAGCCCAGTTGTAATGACACTGTCAAAACAGTGGGAATGTGATGTATTCAAGTAGCTGTGCACTGGACTACATCTTCATACATACACTACAGTGGAGTCCTTCCTGCATATAGTTGTCTATAATGAAATAAATTCACTATACCATTCAGCTTATGAGTTGTTTTATCTTTATAGCTATACATAAAAGAGGCAACAAGAAAATTCAATTTAATGCTTGATTTTAACATATAAAAAAGCCTCGAACCAAAAAAGAAACCCCAACCAAAACAAAGAAAGAAAGAAAGAAACAAACAAACATACAAAAAAAACTAAGACAAACAGGAAGCAAATGCTTACACAGCAGATAAGGAGCTATCCTTCTTTGGTTTCTTCTTTTCTCGAGCATCACTAAAATCGAGAGCAGCTTTGTCCATTCCTAGTAACTCACTGATCCTGTCACGGCCATAGAATTCACCATATTTATCCATGACCTAAGGTTAGTAGGAATATTCAAGAGAATCAGCTCAGTAGACCAGCTGGTTTTTAGCCTGGTTTCTGAATTCAAGAAGCTTAACATACACAAACACTCTCATCTGTTTGTTTCCATCTCAGTTTCTCATATCAGTCAATAATTTATTTTCTTTTTTTCTGCTCATTTGAGATCAATCCAATTGAGGCAAAAGGTGGGTGTCAAAGAGAAGTTTTTCCTACTTCTTTATGAAAACAGGAAAAGCAAAGCGACCAACCAGAAGGAGAATAACTTAGTATCATCACCAACAGAAAAAAAATTACACTGTGAGGTCACAAAGGAAAGGTATGTTTTGAATATCCTACTTATGTGAAAAGCTCTTTTCAAAATAATAATTCTCAAAGACAGTATTGGACCCCTACCAGTTATTTCTTTTAAGGAAAAAAAAACAACAAACCAAATCAAAATAAAAAAACCCTACACAATGTATTTATTTGATTTAAAAAGGTCTTTAAAATAACTCAGGTGTCTTGATTAGGAATTTTAGAGACTTTTTTTTTTTTTTCCTTCTCAGGGGAATTATTTCACATTGAAATAGTTGTGAAAAATGTCACCACTTATTAACTAGTGCCATTGAATTACTTTATTTTTGTTAGTTAATATGCTTCATATATATTTTTTAAAATAAGCCTTACTTTTCTTTTCACAAATTTGTCCCAGTAGTTATTTGGAAAAGACCTGAAAATTAAAAATAACAAGATTGCATTTTAGACAGCCATGAGAAGATGTAGTCATTACTATAACATCCTAAAAATTACAAACTGATTTAGTTTCTAAGAGGTTTTTTGTTGTTGTTACCGTTTGTGAAGTCACTGGAGTGAGTTGCCAACTGACATTCAGACTACCATGTTCATATGGCTGATAGAGTGGCAAAGCCGATGCCTGCAGCCAGAGTTCTAAAACAGCTGGATCTCACAGTCCCATCAGGCAGAGTTGGGACTTTAAATATGTTCCTTGAGAGCCTTCAACAGACATTGAAAGGATGCAAAGCACAGTTCATTTTTGAACTGACAGCAAAACAAACTCATCACTGTGCTTGCAAAAAAAACCAACCAAAAACCAAAAAAAAAATTTTTTTTTTCTTTTATGGAATAGAGATGATTTTTAAAGCAAAAACCTAGGAATGAATAAGATTAAAAAGTAATAGTAAACATTAGCATAACAGGTGCCTGAGATACTTCGTATATCCCTGCTAGAAATACATCTCTAACTGTTGTTTATTTCCAACAAGATGGATGATCAAATATGTAATTGTGGAGATTGAAGAACAATTCCTTGAAAAGCGATAAAGAGACAGAGTAGATAAAAACTCACTGTGTGTTGATTACAAGTCTATCCCACTGTCCCTTTATATCATCTTCTGATGGCTGTTCAGTTATATACAATCCATCAAATTCCAATTTCCTTGCTACTTCCTTTTCTCTTTTAAAAATAACCAATGGAACCTGCAGTTGAAAAAGATATTAGGAATTATTTAAAATGCACTGACATGTCTGCAAATTTTTGAGAAAGGATGGTTGTTATGAAAAAATAATTGTGAGAACAAAGCAAATGCAATATATAAAAAAATTTAAAGACTTGATAATTGACTAGAACACCTCAAAGGTATAGGCACACAAGCAGCCGGTCATTCAAAATCATATAATTACAGTGTACCACGCAGTTGTAAAAAGACAGCCAAAAACCCTGAAAAGGGATCCTTCAAATGCAATTAGTTCTTCAGTGTTATGCAGTTATTAGAGACAGACAAATGAAAGAAAGCTAAAATAAAAATACTTTTAAAATGCTCAGAATTTGGGATCACACTTTTGGAGTAGATTTTGATACCCAGGGCTGTTAGAGGTTGCCTTTCATTTGTTAAAGAATTCTTGAAATTTCATAGTGGGAAGCATAGTGGTTTCACAGCACAGAGCAAAGAAAGACCAGAAACAGTAAAAAGAAAAAACCTTAAACCACAGTGACATTCCATATACTTGATTTTTGCTGTGTAGTTCTTTGCCAGCAGTTGAGATACCTGAGCAGTAAGGATCAGGCTTTAACCACAAGCCTCTTTCATCAGCTGGCTGACATTCAAAGCATACTCTGAGAAGGCAGATCTAACTAATGGTTCCAGTGGAGTGGATTTTTCTTAGAAATCTCTTACCACAAAAAATAAATGATGCCGTTCCCTGGAATTATTTCACAGGTCCCAAAAATTCACCCACCCTGCTTTACTGTCCTTGACTGTATTACTAGTCAAGACTGGGCATGAGTATACTGAAATAGTAATAATAAAAATTAGACTGCTTAAGCAACATGGTGATTGCATTAGATACGATAACAACAGTTTGAATCTTATTTTCACACACCTGAGAAAAATGTAGTGAATTCCATGCAAAGTAATCTCCAAAAGCAAACATATCATACACAGACATGTAGTTATGAAGATTTTCAATTTTGAAAGCAGTATATCTCCAAAGAGAAGAGACTGAAACCATATTTGGTCTTTTATTGAGGGTTTCAGAATTTAAAAGATGATAATTCACTATGGCAGATAATGATAAATACTATTATAAATATAAATATAAATTAGTATTATCTTGCTTTTTGACCTATAGTTTTTGTCTCAGGAAGAGTGCAAAAATGGAGTTAGTATATCGCAGATATACTCCTCCCATCTCCAGAGACTGATACCATTTGGTCTTCCTAAATCAGAAGTAGCATTTTACCAGTAAATGTGGCATCTTTATTTCTTACATCCCTGAAGAGATCTTCAGCAAGACATTCGTTTAAAAGAGGCTTAAGTTCCTGGCAAAACACTATGACTAGAATGTGTATGAAAAGAAGGCATTGTCCATAGACTCAACATGCTGCAATGCTTTTAAAATGACTCAGTTAACAGACTAGCAATGCAGACACTGTCATCTAGCTTCCTCTGGCCACAGGTACTCACAGCTTGCCTATGACAGTCACAAACTGCTTCTGCTGTAATTGTCTGGCTAACGTGGCAATGGTCAAATGCTGATCCTATGATCCTGTGTCAGCACAGCAAATCAGGCTCTGGCCTGTGACTTCCCGAATTACTACATCACAAAACATACAATTTCTGTATAGGTTACACTAACAGAATAGTGTTTCTTTACACGGTCCCTCAAACTGCTTAAACAAAGCTGTTATGACTTTTTTCATATTTATAGCACTCAACGGATTAAAAATTTCAGAGACAGAAGAAAAAGCAATGCTCTTTTTTTCTTACTTTCAAACAGTAATACCCTATGATACAGAAGAATGAGATGACTGTGTGTAGGATGGCCAAAATCCGCAGTGTGGGCTCCATGTAGCCACTGCTTTCTTCCAGGACATAATGCACTGCAATGACCCTCTCGTCATCGCTGTCCAGGCTGTTCAGCTTGGTACTTTCACCAGTAGATATCACAGGAACTTCCTTTTCTTCTGTTTCAGCAGAGGTGGAGACCTGTTTAAATCACTTAATTTTAATATTGCAGCTGTAATCCTTTGACAGGAGCTTTACACTACTACAAGCTAAGTAGGGTAACTGAAAACAGTGCTAACAAGGACAATATAATTGAAAGGAAAGTTGGGGTTTTTTTTGCATAAATATGTCCACAGAGAATATCTCACAGAGACCTTTAATCTTGTTACAGCAATCTGTGATAGCATGTGTTTTCTTTGTTTTTTTTCCCCCTCTCTGTCCATGGTAGCAAATTTGAACCTTGCTGAATTTTATCACCTCAAGTTCAAGAAATGACATAACCCTCTAGTAAGAAATTCAGTCAATTCCTGATAATCCTGTGTGTAGCTCCTATCAGTAGGGCTCTGACAAAAAACAGGTTGAGTCTGAAGACTCTAGAATTGCATTAGCAATGCTAAAACTCTTGACAAATAAGATCAATGATATTCTAGGCAGCTTAAGACGATGTGCCTCCTATTTGCTGTACACACCCTCTCAGGGGAGTATAAAGGCACATGAAAATATCTCAGTGGACACTTATTAGTTTAAGTTGCTGGTGAAGGCTGGGCTTGGCTGAGTCACTGTACTGTGAAATGGAGCATCTGAGGCATAGGTATGCCTTTCGGTATGCTGCCTCTGCTGCAGCACAGACCTTTAGAAAAAAGCTAAAGAAAGAAACAGCTTTGTGCACTGAAAGTCTATTATTACCTCACATAAACACTTTAGCTTCTATTGTGTTAGATTTCTGAAGTGGCAGTATGAAGCAGGTATTTAATCTGTTAGACTAGGCAGCTTTACCATAGCGTACTGCCTACAAAACCTGAATGGTTTTCAGTATACAACTTGAAAAGTAGTATTTTGACAAGTTTACCTTATAGAAAAGCAGGATGAAGTTGATGGCAAAAGCAACAAATAATGCCAACATCCTCATATTGTAAAAGTTTCGTGCAAAATAATTCTGAAAATAGAAACAGAACATAAATATACTTTGCTTAATTTCATAGAAACATAGAATGGCTTGGGTTGGAAGGGACCTTAAAGATCATCTAGTTCCAACCCCTTCCACAGGCAGGGACACCTTCCAGTAGACCAGGTTGCACAAAGCCCTGTAATGATGCCACAATACTTACTAGGTTGTTGCATGAGTTGTTTCCCCTATAGAGCTATTTTAATAGAATTATAAATAGGATAGTTGCTTTTCATGGAGAGACAAATTCTACAGGGTCACAAACTACTGTGAAAATTTGGGCATTTTATTCACATAAAAATGCATGGCTGTTTTCCAGTGATGGACAGGCACTTCTGAAGGTCTGTATTTTGGACCATAATTGTCTTCCCAAGAATTAATCTCATGTCTACTAAGTTATTTGTGTGTTTCTTTAACATTTGAGTTAAACCTTTGCCTTTATGTCCTTTTCATAGATGATGGTGATAGAAAAATGAGGTTTATCAGGTGCAAATTTGTCTTTACATTGCTAGAATAACATGGTGGAACACATCCCTGCCAACAGCTAAACACATAGTCTAGAGAACAGCTTACAAGAAGCTTCTGTTGGTATGCAATGATTTTCTTCCAGAAAGCCGATTCCTGAACTTCTGGTTCTCCATATCTGTGAGTATGAAGCTGTCTTAATTTCTGTTTTCCTTTGTCTTCCTTGGCTTTCTCTTCTTTTTCTCCATCTTCTCCTCTTAAGATACAAATTAAGCCAAAATAACATGTCAAGTTAATAAAAACCTTAAAGCACACCCCAAAAGAGTCCACTGCATCTTTTCATGAGGCTCAAGTAGTCATGACTCATGCAGTTCACACACCTGAATAAAAAGAGGACATATCTCTGTTCAGTCCAAAGAGCTGGCAAGGTCTGGTTAAAGCCTACAGAAAATTAAACTTACTTGTTTGGCACCTTGAAATGAGAATGCTACCTGGCAGGTAGTCAACAATCTACCAACCTTATTACCTGAGGTCTGCTTCATGATTGTGCAGCTAATACTTGTGCTGACAGATGTCTGTAAGCTGACAGCCTGTATTTGGCACTCCCTCCCCTCCAACCTTATGCACTTGGAACTACCTGGTTCCCACAAAGGCTACAAAAAACTTTGGTTCTTGCATTTATAAGCCAAACCTCAGTTTTTAAATTTCTGCCCAATGGTGGAATTCGTAAGTACTCACTTCAGGAACAAACAGGACTAAGAAAGCTTGGCAGCATTTGATGTGTGATTATCAGCATGCTGCCCAATTACAGAAAGTCATAGTTAGGGGACTGCCTTCTCTAAACATATGATCTAAGGAATGGTGAATCATCTTAAAAGTTAATTTGACCTGATAGCATGACAGATGAAAGGATCACAGAAGTCAATTTGAAGCTAAACCAGAGTGAGAAGCAACTTAAAAGTTACATTATTAATTTCTCTATACCTATCTACAAACAGAATAGCCAATGTCCTAAACTGCTTCTCTTACTAAAATACACTCTTACTGAAATTCACTGCCAAGTGAAAGTTATTCTTATGTTAGGAGTGGCTTCAGGGCAGCTAATAGTGCCAGGCACTGCAGTCGTCACAGAGAACACAGGTATGACAGCAACTCACAGTGAAGCTGAGCAATCCACAGTGAAACTACCTTCAAAAGTTAGGAAGACTGCCCTTCACAAAATTATACTGTCTGAGTTAGCAATTTGCTGTACTGATCAGGAAGAAGAGTTTTTGTTATGGGCAAGTGTCATCCCACAAGAGCAATAAGGATACGGCTTGAGACTAAGGGACCTGCTTAGAATTTTGACAGTGAAGTATCAGCTACAGGCACTGTACACGTATCAGAATCGTACATGTATCAGAAACCATAAAATACAGGGATGGAATGCCATATATTTTACTGGTTAAAACCAAGCACAATGTTTTGCTTTCCACTCTTTTTAATTCTGAGCTAATCTCCTTAACATTAAATTTTAATGTATCCTAAAAAGTTTAAAATGGTCATTTATCAAATGCTAACACTAGTTCTTCATAAAGATGTGAGAGTACTTAGTAATTCACTAAAATTACATTGGAATATTAAGGTTTTGCAAAATCCAAATAACTCAAAACAGGTCATAGTGAATGGGAGGGGCAAAAAAGATTCAGTCTCTACCATTGATGGATAAGTTTCAGGAACTCAGGTGCTCTTACAACTTTTCCAAGAGATTTTCTTCTGTCTTTCAGACTTGCTAACAAAAATGTAATCAATCAAAAATTGAAACTAAAAGAAACTAAACTGATACTAGAAAGGATGTTGCTGTAAGAGGGAAATTCATAAAATCTCAGAGTGATGCTATTTACATGCCATTTCCTTGCAAATGTGCATGGATGTGGATGAGGGTTAAAAATCCTAACTGTGGAACGTGAGTAGACACAAAATTAAAGGCAAAGAAGTAAGTACGAATCAAGGTGGTTTTTTTCAGTGAAAGAAACATTTCATAGGATCAGAGGTTAAAGTAATACATACTCTGCTTTTTCAGGTTCAGATTTTGTTTCCTCCTTTTCTTCCTTTTCATCTTCTTTCACCTGCTCCTAGAGAAAGTCAGATTAAATGAAAGTGTCTAAACTATTATTCAGTACAATGTTAGTTAAAAGGATACAAAGAGTGCAAAATGTTAGGCTTTTTTGTTAAAAAAAACCAATGACAACAAACCAACAACTGAAACCCTGAAAGAAGATGATCCTCCAATATACATTAATGAAGAGACATTTTAATACTGAACCAGAAGGTGGCTGTGGGAATTCAAGTTTATGACATCAGAGAGGGTAAACACCAGTAATTATGGTTGATTACCTAAAAAACATGTCACAAAACCGAGAAAAACACAGATACAATTTTTATTTCAAAACTATAGCTAACATATTAAAGAGAGAAACAAACAGCAGAAATAAAAATTACAGTTACCTGGACTTTTTCCTGCACCTCAGGCATTGGAGCTAAGGATGGAGTGCCCAGTAAATCACTCAAACCAGCATTTGGATTGTGAGGGATCAGTTTATACTGTCCACCTTCTCGTTTCAAATCCAAACCAAATATATCTGAGAGTAGGTCACTCTCATCTGATAAAGTTCTCAGATCTGTCAAGTCTTCTGTAGGTAATACAGCTTCCGTTGGCTTCCTCTCCCCCTCTTCTCCTTCCCCACGCACCTCATCCTGAGTGGGATCTGGCATATTAGCTAATAGCTCAGCAACCTTGATTTTCTTTGCTCCTTCTACTAGGCTTCCTCCAAGCAGCAAACTGCATATGATGCGAAAGAAGCCCCGGACAACACTACAAGCAAAATGTAGTAAGCCCACCAAAATGCTCCAATAGGAAGAAAACAAAGCCATGACCATGTCCTTCATGGTCATTTTCTTCACTTTTTTCATCTGTTTCTTTAGGCTCTTCATGCTGAGCATTTTCATAAGAGTCATTAGGTTATATTTAAGAGCTACTAATGCTGACTTCATGGTCACAAGAGAGAAGAAACCCATTCTAGGATCCTGTTCCTCAGGCTTATCTTTCTCATTCTCCTCTTTACTTGCTGACCTTTCATTTAGATCTGATTCAGAGATCTGGGCAGCCAGTTGCATTTCAAAGATGGTATCCTCACAGAAATTAACAAAAAGCTCCATCTTTTCTTTCTCCCCACCTTCATTTACAACATCAAATATAAATTGTCTCTTTGATTCTTTCACCTGAGGTTTCTCCCACTGAGTCCGACTTGACTCACTTATTTCAAAATAAACTCGTTCAATGCGCTTTGCGCTGCCCATGATTTCTATGCGTCCAAGGAAAGGCTGAAAGTAATTCAGCACACTCTCTGACAGTTCAAGAAAAGTTTGCAAGCGGGTATCATGGGGCATGTGTTCTGACAGGTTGGTCAGGAGAACAGCAACATTGAAACCAATGTCTTTAGCAGGTTCATGGAATCGTTTCACAAACTCCTCATAGTCCAGAGTCTCATTCTCATCTGTTTCAGCACATGATAGCAGAAACTCAGTTTCAGACTGGGTGTAATGCTTGTGGCTTTCCATTGCCTTGTGAAAATCCCTCTTTGAAATTAATCCTTTACCATCAGGGTCATATTCTTTGAATGCATCAGAGGAAGTCAAATCCTTCAATTTTAAGAACATATCAAAAAACTTCAGAATCATCTCCACATTGTTGGACGATTCCACAAGCATATCGACCATCTGCTTGCCAATAGTTCCATTCACAACATTACCTATATGCAATGACATGAAGTTAGAGATGCTGATGGCAGTAAATGTTTTAGCAACAAAAAGTGAATAATAATCACTAGTGAAATAATCAAACAAGTAAGAATAATAAACTATTGGCTAACACTCACATGAGAAAGCTAGCAATAAAATCAGAAATCTTTTACTAATAACACTACCCTAAGACTTGGAAAAAGCATAAGTAAATAATTATTAGCCATTAAAGAAAGGAAAAACTAACAAGCTCTACACAGAGACATCTGTTACATTTAATATAGTACTAAACATGAGACAGCATAGTGTGAATTTTACTATAGTGCAATATAGACAGAACTAGTGTCATATTTCTTAGGATGAGTAGCTCTGTAGGTTACTCATGAAGCACAGCCTAAAATACTAAGAATTTAGTTTGCTTCTCAGTGACCTTCTGGGAGCAAAGCAGTAGTGATGCATGCTACACTGCAACCTATGCTGCATTTAAGGCCCTTTTAAGGTTTTTCGAGAAAATAAATGTGATAGGATACATGTAAGAAGCAAACCAGATCTTTGGATCACCTGTATGTATGTCTGGTTATTCTAGTAGTGAAAACAGTAATACAGTACCATAAAGGAGCTAAAGAAATAGTAGTATTTCTTGACGATGCTCACATTCTCTAGACAAATCAAAGTCTGTACTTTATGGCTAAAATCACTACCAAAATAAATGTAATATAGTAAAGGTGTTAACAAAATGATCAATAAATGGTTCAGTTCCTAGAACTCAGAATTCCAACTTCGATAATAAAAAACCTTTTCACCTAAGCCAAAAGAAAAGCCAGTTAATGGAAACAAAGTAAAATTTCTGCCAGAGCTGCATTTTAAACAGTTCTGGTATTCAGAATTAATGTAAACTGTATCAACTACACTATATAAATCTCCCATTTACTTTAAGACCTAACAACTCTTCTCACAATTGAGACATAAAAATTAAAAAGGAAAATGAAGCATTATTTCTTGCATGAAGAAAACCACAAAGCTAAAAACTTTGTGAACAGCTTCTGAAGAGGATTTCATATTTAAGTTTAACTACCTTCCAGCATAGACAGCAACATGACAACCATATCTTTCTGAAGATCCATTAATTCCTTCAGTAATTCAATTTGACTGGAATCCTAAATAATGAACACAATATAAAAAATTAGATATCTATTGACTTCTTTGACATTTATATATGTGCATGCATATTTCACCTGTAAAAATGAGACACAGGAATTAAGCTAGTGGTGTCAAAGCTGGCAATACAGTGAAAATACATTTAATTGCTAGATTCCTTACAGTACATTTACAGGATCAAATATTTACATGACCACCTGTTTAGAAGAGAGTAATTCAGTAAAGACAAAGTGAAAACTGCAAGTATGAAAAAAACTTAAAGTAAGCTCACAGATGATGCCTCTGCAATGTTTCATGTCAGCTTAAATATTGTCGCTGTTGGTGTAATCAAGTTTACAGCTATGAAATGTAAAAACAATGGCAGCAGCAAATAGAGCTCAAAGCATAACATGATTCAAAGTAAGCAATTCTCTTATAGACCAGTGAACTACTTTGGGAGAAACATGAAATAAAAATCAGAGTATTTATTAATAAAGTTCCATTAGTATTTCCTTAAATAGACATTATATTGATTCTTTCAGCTTTCTTTTATCCCATTGGGCTTATCAATTTTACTATTTCCCTTGACAATGATTTCAACCTGGAATCTATCTGGATAGATTTATTCAACTACTTAATTTCTTCCTCTGTGATACACGGCTGCATCATGACATTGATAAGGCATACTTAGCATTGCTGGACTTCAGTGACTAGTACCACAAACTGAAGGCACTCTATGACAATTTGGATCTTGGTCTGAAAACAGCACAATCTGGAAATAGTGAGATTTCTAATTGATTTGTCTTGTAAGTTTTCATTATATATCTTGTTACTTCAACAGTTCCTCACAAGCTGGAGTATCTTTATTCATTTAGATTGAAAATTTTATTTTCATTTTCCACCTTACAGGGAATTCTTCAGAAGTATTACCAAAATCACCTTGTTGCTTCCTAGTACAAGACTAGAGAAGGAAAATTAAAAAATTAAAAACCCCTAAAACCTCACAAAAAAACCCCCACAACCAAACAAATAAAACCCAAACAAAGCAGTGATTTAGCTTTGTTCCTATTTAAATCTTTTTTTGAATATTCTCCAGAAATACTCTTAGAAACTCCCTATGTAAAACAAAAACCAAATACTTTGCTTAGATAGCCCCTCTTACAGAGAAAAGCCATATGGCAACTCCTTATAAATCCATTTACCCTACACTTTTGAAAAATGGTATTTCAATAGAATCTGAAAAGCTTATTGATATATTCTTGCAATAAATATAAAAAACAAAAAAGTCCACATCTATTCTGGTCTTTCCCATCACTATTTATCATACATTTGGAGTGGACTGTTTCTTTCATCCCACAGAATAGCATGATTAACTCCACACACCAGAATGAATCTTGTGCAAAGCTTCTTGGTTTTCTCTGAAATGGCAGGATAAGTATCATTATTCTCTAGATGCAGTAATTAAAAGATGCTATGAAGCCGCTTTGGGCACAGCCATGACTATAAACTTGTAACTACTGTAAAAACAAATCTTGCCAATAGCCACATATTTCTCAATCAACACTTAGCTACCACGTATTTGACTCACTGTCATTAAATACTTGGATATCAATTTCCATGTTGCTTGTGGTACAGGAAGAGAGCACAATAGCCACCACTATGGCCTACCCTAACATTCGCTATTTTTTCAATTTTTAAAATACAAATATGTACCAAAAGCAGAAAAATATCTACAGGCACTCATAAATGCACATCACTAGAAATTCAATGCATCACTCTTGATAATCAGATCTCACTGTAATGCCATTTCCTGGAAGAAGACTTTTATTTAGCTGTAAAGAATGAGAAGTGTACCTGTAGCACAAAGTCTATAAATCAAAGCAATTGGCCTACTTTCAGCCATACAGCCCCAAGAGCAGGAGAAATCATTTGAGCAAGACCACTTTAATTTATGCAAAGAACACTTACATGGATACATTTAGAGCCAAACAATGAAATCTAAAAACCTCAGAGACTTCAGAGTTGTATTCCTTAAAAATAACTAAAACCTTTACAAGCTTATGACACTTTCCTACAAGAATGTTAAATTATGTAAAAAATTTAGAATATTACATTCAATTAAGATGTGTAATTCTTTGGAAAAGGTAAGAACTTGGAAACTGCACTGCTTAAAGATAGGATTCTTTTCACTTAATTTTAACCCTCTAAAGAACTATCTGTGCCAGTCCCCTGCACTATTTCTATAGCTTATTAAATGGGCACTCACATACAAAGGCAATACAGACATTCTAAGGTCTCAATATTCTCTTTTTCTGCTAAGAGTAGAAAAGGCTTAGATGCACACATGGGTTGAACTAGGGTTCACAGAGGATGAACTAGGGGTCAGTGCAGAACACATCAATGGAGATGGATCCTGCATACAAGGCACATGCAAAATTGCAGAAAACACTGTGACAGAACTTTGGTATTAAAGACAGAAAACTATAATTCTTTCTGAATATTGATAATATGCTTCATTTGTAGCTTGAGCTAACCAGCTTTGTGCCTTTAGCCAATAACCCAATTATAGGCCTGCTACTCACACCCACTACAATTTTGTAATTTGCTCACTCAACAATATTGTATTTTATCACCTCCGGTTTTTATTTTTCCTCATATTTCCCATTAACTGTTGTTATTAATGACTCAAACATATTAACAAATCTGTTTATCTTTTATAAATATACCAGTAACTTAAAATGGAAATGTAAAACAGATACCTGAGATAGCTTCATCTGCATGTGGGCAAACACATGAAGAAAACCAACTACAGCATCCCATAGCCTGCTATGTGCCAGACTTTGCTGATTCCCAGTGCATGGGCCCTATTGTTCAGGCAACAAAAAAAAAAAAAAAAAAAAAAAAAAAAAAAAAAAAAAAGAAAAGCAGAGTTTATTTGCAAGAAACTCAGCAAAAACAGTAAGGAAGATTCATAGGCAGTGCACAGTTCAGGTCTGTCCTTTTGAAACCGCTATGAAAAATTAAACAGATATAGAATTACCTATTTAATAATACCACTGACTGTAAGCAATCCCTACTCCTAATGACCATTCTGCCTGCTTTAGCCAAGTCCCAATTTACTAATTCAGAACCACAAAAAGTATATCTGCTTGCAGCTTTAAACTGCAAATGCTAAAGGGGTATGCTAAAGGGTTAATTCAAACTTGGTATAAGGGATTAGCAAATGAAATTTCTGGTTTTTTTTCTCCAACATATTCTAGCTGTTGTAGAGAACAGTGCAAAAGAATATTCTTCCAAAAATCCAACTTGTGAAAATCAGGAATACAAAAACTTTTGAAGCCTCAAAGGATAATCTTTATCAGCTAACACCACTATTTGTCAATTCTCAAATATGTGTGCATTAAATACATGTATGTGCTATATATAAACTGCCTCTACTCATATTTATTCAGTCCTATTCCCTCTCATTTTGTCCTCATGAATTATAAAATACTATTTTCATAATAATGATCTTCATTTGAATGAAACCAGTATAATAGACACCTAATAGTCTAATGAGATTCTCTCTAACCAGCCTATTATTTGCAGAAATAAACTGTAATACTGTTGACTGATTTACATGAAGAACAAATCAAGTATTAAATTACATTGAATTCCTCAGATGTCATGGAAGAACCGTGATATTGTTATTTTGACAGAATGACGCCAATCTCATTTATTACGGTGTCTACCTCAAGTACGTTTCTGTAATTCCCAAATGTGTGATTTCACTATTTCAGACACAGCACTGATGCCTTACAACAGCCTTATTCCTAAGACAGACTACAATCTAATGTTCTGTTGACTAAATAGCAATTATGTTTTGTATTGACCTTAGTTCCTCAATGGACTAAAAGTGAAGACTTTAAAGTGGGTAACACTGCTGCAGTTTAGGCCAAATTAAAACAAACCAAATAAACTCTATTGTCTTGTGTACAAGGAAAAGATGATTATTTACTAATAACAGTAAATCTGATTAAATTGCTAAGATTCCAAAAGAGTAGTGACAGCTATATTTCAAACTTCACTTTCTATTTAAACAAACATACTAAAATTATCTTGAAGCATAAATACATCTATATTATGTTTCTATCTGTGTTATATACAGCTACATTACATCTTCATGCCAAAAGTATGATTAATTTTCTTTTGAATATGTAAAATTCCAATGAATCTAATTTACCTGGATATACTCTGTCAGAGTATTGAAAACTTGTTTTGCAACCTGGATAGCTTTGGAAAAATTTCGTTGTCCTTGTTCATCAATAACATCCTTCCCAGAATAATACCAATAGAAATCACTAATGGATTCCTAAAAATGGTTGTGAGAAGCACGAAGAGATTATATAATCAAACTGCCTTTAACTGGTTATTCATTAAGCTAAGAAAAATAACATTAGATAGCATTCTAGTTCTAAAAAGTATTTAGCTTATAAAGCTTTTAAATGCCGCCCGACAATTCTGAAGTATTACTTCAACAATTACAGTTTCATATTAAGGGAATCAATAAGAAAACAAATAAACCAAATAAATAATTAAAAAGTCCCACAGCAAACCTGAAAATAAAATATAAATTAGATCTCTTGGTATCTGCTCTTAGAAATACAATCACCTGCATTCTGAAAAGGAGTACTCAATAGTATTGCCATGCTGCATGCTATATGCTGTTCATTAAACAATCTTTCTTTATACTCTGTGCTTGACACTTAGTCAATAGTGGGAGCAAATACTGCTTTTTGTGCATGATTTCTCTTCCCATCTTCCCCAAAAGCGAGCTTATTAAAGTTTCAACAAAGTAAGCAATTGAAAGAAAATAATTGTGTTGTCCCTACAACTTCTACAAAATGCATAGGGATAAAAAGCAGCACTGGTAACAGCAGCAACTTAAACCTACCAAAAACAAAACAATGCATACTATCACGCACAGTGATTTTCAGAAAGATGAGACTAATAGGTAAAAAATATTAAGTTTTATCACAAAATATGTTTTTGTGCCTTTCACATGCTCTAGTCTAGAAACAAATTAGATCTTTTTACATTACTTTCTGCTGACTTGTGACAGTGTAACATGTTCATATTTAAAGATAAGGAGATAATTAAAATCAGAGGGTTAAAGGGTTTTTAATCGAGCCCTCTGTTTTGTTTTTTTCTTCTTGCCTTTTTTCCCCCCCCTCATTAGAAAACGAGGCACTGTACTTAAGCTTCATTCTGTGCCATCCCATGACTACCCATACAGCAGCCCAGTGTTCAGACTGAATCAGAACATGGATGAAAAAGCATCTTGCTGAAGCTTAACTTGAACAATCCAAAACATTTTTCAGCCACAGGGCAGTCTCAGTCACCAACTGGCTAATGGTATTCACTGATACACCGATACACTTAGAATCTTCCCTGCTCTCCTTGGTTTACAGATTCCATTCCATTCTTGCATATAACGGCTGCAATAAATCTTTCTCACTTTTTTTCACCTTTGACTCTCACAGTAAAAAATAACTCTTCAAGAACTGTAACCAGCAGAGATTTACAGCCTTTCACATCAACATGGGCTACAGTCACCAGAATAAATGTTATGACAATTAAATGTGCTCCTCTATTAAAACGGAACATTTGTGATAAGAATGAGGTTTAATTTTGCTGTAAACATGTATAGCTGAAGAAAATTCCAGAGAAATTAAGTAATTTGGAATTTCCACATACAAACTTCTGCCTTATGATCAAAATAAATGAAATAGTTTTTTTAAAAAAGGTAAATATTGTATGGATGCAAGTCATTATTGTTAGCTACTTAATTAGTATGTAAGTTAACCTACCTGAACTCTTAATAAGTAATCCACAGTGGAAATGATAATATTAACAGTTGTGTTGTTACCAGTCTGAGTTCTCAGGTAATTCTGAAAATCTAAAAATTCAAATAAAATTTTAATTTAAATTTATTTAAGTGTTAAAGGCTTACAAAACTATGCCTGCAAATTAATTCTAAGTTAACATGATCTAGGAAATTATAGCTTAGAGGAATAATTTTTTTATTAAGTCCTTTTTTTCTCCTTTTTTTAATAGTTTTAAGAGCTTTAGCATTTTATTGCAGAGATCACGTATCAGTGAAATAATGAAGCTAGAAGCTTGATTATCTCTTTCCTCTGTAGAATTTTAACTTGATCTTATTTTCATCTCATTTATGACTTGTTTTACATCTCTGGATGTAAACATACATCTCCATCAATATCAACATAATTGCAAATAGTATATATTTTACAAAGCAAAAGCAAGTTTAAAATGCATAATTATACAATTCCTGTTTACAAAATCACAAATATGCCTAATGGCTAAAAAAAATAACTTTTGTCTTTTTTTTCTTCTTTTCCTTCCCTGATAATGACACAGAACACAGGAAAATGTACTTAATAATAAAAATACAGTTAATATCATTTATTAGTTTAATTTGTTCCGGTACGTTTAAAATAGATGCTGTTTCTTCAAGAAAGGTATTGTGTATGGTGTTGTAATTCCACATACAATTCCAACTGACATTAGTGCGTAATAATGCGCGCTAGAAAATATACAAATGCAAAGTAACAGTAGATATATCTTCTCATTACATTCTTTCTCTGAATCCTCTCTGCCCAAAAGTTATAAGCCATGTACATTTTCCTACATAAGTTTACCTTTCCTAGTACCTCAGGATACAAAACTTATTATTTTGGAAACTGGTATCTTTTCTACAAAATTAAAGCTGATCCAAAAAAAAAAAAAAAAAAAGACAACTTATTTACACAAAAATATTTTCCTTTCATGCACACTCTAGTAGCTACCCTGCCTTTCACAATATTTTATGAAGGCTGCCAAGCTTTTATCTTTAGTTACCGTCACCTTGGTTTAGCTGACTGGTAGCCTGCCCACAAACCTGAATTATGTCCTTCACAAAGCAATTGAAGGAAGCGGAAGAGGTCACATGTGAACTCATCATCCTGCATCACCTTTTCTCCTGTAGAAAGGCCAGATGGAAGCAGATTATCTCAGGCTGCCAAGTAACACGCCACAGCCCCTGAATAAAATCTCCATATTTAATTTTCAGAAAGAGAGAAGGGGTGATAAAATTTATAACTACCAAACAATCTGAAGCACAAATGACCTATGCTTTGCAGATAGTTATTTGGGTAAAAAACAAACAAACAAACAAACAAACAAAAGCAAGAACAAAAAACCCAAACTTAACTTCTGATTTATAAATATGGCAGCATGAGCTTGGCAACATTTTACAAATAATCCATTTTACATTCTTGCTTGACTTTACTGGGCATGGATGCTGCATTACATATAAAGGTTAGAATTGGATTAATTTTATTCCCATTCACAACAAAACAAGGTACTTTAAAAGTACATAAAAAGATTCAAACAGTAATGAAAATTATTTCTCAAATAACTATTAAATTTGAAAATACTCTGAAATTTACAGCTCTATGTATGCATTCTCAAGAATCACCTGGGTAGAAATATTTGAGAATTCAGTACCTGTCTGCTGCTGACACAAAATGGGTGTTGGGCATTTGTCTCCCCTGACAAAATAAACTAATGAACTTATGATGAACCAGAACAAAGGTCAATGTGATCTATTTAATTAGGCTCCTCAGTTTGTTTTTTGGCAAAGAGCTAATATGTAGATGTATAAAGCTTCAAATAATTTTCTTGATTCTTCACAGTAAACAGTATACTAAAAACTCAATGAACACACCATTATTTCAGCTGCACACAGTTAACTGTACACTGACATGTGAAGAAACAACCATTCAACCAGGAAAGCAATCACAACCTAGGAAGATGTAGAACAGCTAATAAAATGACACAGGAGGACAACAATATAGGTGCTCAAAACAGTGAAGGCCACCTACTGAAAGTAAGGAAATTCCCATTTAGGGTTTCGAAATTGACAAATTTGGAATTTGGAATGTGTATGGCAACAAAAATGGAAGCCATAAAACCTTATTTTTAAGAATATACATCATTTGAATATGTGGCCAGGTGGTATTTGTAGACAACAGGAGGAAAAGAAATAAAAATGTAAGCAAGCTACAAAAGAATTTGGAATATTTTTTAAATGAGGAGATACTTTAGGCTTTATTTGAACTTCAAAATCCCATGTCTACAAAGACAATAGTTTTAGTGTGCAAACAGAAGCAAATCAGAAAAGTAAATTAATTACAACTCAAAAGTTTAAAAAAGCTTTTTTCAAAAAAGTTTTAGACAATAATGATAACATTAATTACGGACATACTGTTATACTGGTGGAGAACTAGTTGTAATGTCAATGTTTATAAATTATTAAATTATTATAATTACATTATTGCAGCTTGTACTGGTTTTGGCTGGGGTACATTTAATCTTCATAGCAGCTGTGTTCCTATGTTTTGGATTTGTACTGAAAACAGCGTTAATAACATAGGGATGTTTCTGTTAGTGCTGAACAGTGCTTACATGGAGTCAAGACCTTTTCTGCTCCTCACACCACCCCACCAGTGAGTGGGCTGGGGGTGTATGAGAAGCTGAGTGGGGACACCACAGGACAGCTGACCACAACTGAGCCAAGGGATCCCATACCATATAAAACTTGGGGAAGAAGGAGGAATTGGGGGACATTTGGAGTGATGGCGTTTATCTTCCCAAGTAACTGTTATGCATGACAGCCCTGTTCTCCTGAAGATGGCTGAACACCTGCCTGGCAACGTGAAGTGGTGAATGAATTCCTTGGTTTGGTTTCCTTGCATACATGGATTTTGTTTTACCTATTAAACTGTCTTTATCTCAACCCACAAGTTGTCTCACTTTTACCCTTCCAATTCTCTTCCCCATCTGATGAGTGAGCAAGCAGCTGTGTGGTGCTTAGATGCTGGCTGGGGTTAAAACATGACACACATGAATTATAAACAATTTTGAACAATTTGGAAAAAATACATATATATATATACACACACATGAACATGATTAGAAGTTTAACTTTACATAGAGTCATGAACGTTTACATGTTCAAGATAATGGATTTATCAGTCCACAGCTTGTGAATTTTGAAGCCAGAAACTTCAGTACAATGGTAGGATTGGGAAGAAGTAGTATGAATACTTTAAAAGTACATGATTTCACTCTTTTCTGTCCCATCTCCTAATTCCAGATGTGTACTTAAGGTAGCAGTGAACAATATGCAATTCTTTCTCCAAGAATGAGTCAAATACCATAAATGACATTCGATGACACTTTTCTCCATCCCAGATAGAAACACAAGTTATAACTTTTTCAGTCACAGAAGACTGGAAACGCTTTCAGCTAATTAAACACCAAAAAATAAATTACTGTTTCTGTCAGTACTGGTTAATTTATATGTACTATGTATGCCCAAGGCAGCAAGAAAGTAAAACCAAAAGGTGCCTGTGCACTTAAAACTATATTATTCAACATTATTTTGAAGTTCAGTCCTGAAAGATACTTTTATACGTTGCTGGCTGAAGGCCAGAGTATAGAATATTCTGCAAGATTAGTCATGGTTTGGTTTTGTTTTTTTTTTAATTTAACTGAACTCCAGTCATGCTTAAAGTTACACTTGAAAGTTATATGCATTGTTGATCTAGATGAGTATTTGTATTTTGTAAAAATAACCACTACAGAATGCCAAATATTTCGTGAAGCCTGTACCTTCACACATGCAATGTGTGTAGCTTGACTGCTGAGATGGCAGTGATTTAAAAAAATAACTCAAGGGAAATTGCTGATGTATTACCACTGGAAAAATCAAGCCCATAAGGGGTCCAACCGTGTATTTCTTGTATATCAAGATATCACTGAATCAAAGCCATTTGTGAATGAAGCATGACCAGTAGTAGATCGAAGAAGGTGATCCTGCCCCTCTGCTCTCATGAGACCCCACTTAAGAGTATTGTGTACAGTTCTGGTGTCCTCAACATAAGAAGGACATGGAGCTGTTGGAGCAAGTCCAGAGGAGGCCCACGAGAATAATAAGGGGGCTTGATCACCTCCCGTATGAAGACAGGCTGAGAAAGTTGGGGCTGTTCAGCCTGGAGACGAGAAGGCTGCGTGGAGACCTTATAGCAGCCTTCCAGTATCTGAAGGGGGCCTATAAGGATGCCGGAGAGGGAATCTTCATCAGGGAGTGCAGTGATAGGACAAGGGGTAATGGGTTTAAACTTAAACCAGGGGAAATTCAGGTTGGACATAAAGAAGTTCTTTACTGTGAGATTGGTGAGGCACTGGAACAGGTTGCCTAAAGAAGTGGTAAATGCTCCATCCCTGGCAGTGTTCAAGGCCAGCTTGGACAGGGCCTTGGGCTACATGGTCTAGGGTGAGGCATACCTGCCCATGGTAGGGGGCTGGAACTAGATGATCTTAAGGTCCTTTCCAACCCAAACCATTTTATGATTCTACAGTTACGTTACAGATCAGTATCTTTTCTCCACCTCTGTTTCTCTTGCCCTCTATCAAGTAAGACATTTCAAAACAAGAAGGAAAACAAGTCTCAATTAAAATGGCTATACGGTTTAATCTACTAATTATTTTTCTGACTTTTTGTACATGCACTGAAATTTAGGAATTCTTATAAAATAAATTTAAATTTTAATAATTATTTTTAATTAGCTCCACTGCAACAATATCACAAAATGAATACAAGTTATTACAAAATTCTGTGATATTGGAAGGTGCTTAGGTACGTCATTTCACATAAGCTGAAATGTCAGTTCCTTTCAGAAATATTTTTGTGTGTTTCAAAATGAAGCAAAAAACCCACCGTTTCAAACAGCTTGGCCACACTAAGATTCAAAATAATCCTGGTTTTCAATATCTACAGCTGATCAAAATCTGAATAAAACCAGTGTTGGTATTGACAAAAATTTTTATTTTCAGATGTTACTTCCTGAATGCCAGAGGTGTCTCACTGGCAACTACAGAACTGAAGTGCAGGTCCATTTCTTTCTATAAGACCTAACAGAACAACCTTTGCTGCTGTGCACAAAGATTCATGCCACTACACACAAAAATTTGCATAGATAATGTACTTAGAAACATAAATACTGCATACAGTATGACTTAGTTTGCCACAAAACATGTTCTTTTATTTCTGTTGATATGTACATTCTGGCATATATCTGCTTAGATAGTAAAATGCTGCCATTGCTCATGCTGTATGTAAATAGTATGGCTGCACATAGAAAGGCTTCGAGCCTGTAGTTTTGCATAGTTAGTAGCTTGTATTCATGATATACAGGAACAGAGCTATCATGTGCAGGAAATTAAAATAAGATTGAATGAAAATTTAAATACACGTTTTTTTTCTCTTGAAAGTGCATGTGTCCAAGTTTAATAATTCTGACTTTTTTTTTTTTAATCTTCAGTGGAAAAGATGAGTTCCATCACTACACTGAAACATTGGTCTGATGCTACATATTATAGGAATATACAAATACTTTCAGCTTTCAAAAAGGAACAGGGCTCCTTTGTGATGGCTGTTTAGCAAGAATGAACCTCTCTCTCATGATAAACCACATGAATTTATTCTAAAGACCCGGTCAGTATTGGATTGTATTGTGAGTGCTGCATGCCTTTGACTTCTCGATAATCTGATTCAAATAAGAAAAGCTCTTGTTTTCTGAGTGATGCATAACAATTTCTCTGAACTTTTAAATGCAAACACAGATTCAAATAGAGTGATACAAAGGTGGAAAACATCCCTCCAGTGTGGGCTACAGTGGATGACACAGAATTTAAACATCCATTATAAGTGTGACTAGGCTAGTGAAGGAAAAAGTGTATTTATAGTTTTCACATTTTTAATGGCTGAAAATAGCAGGATGTGTAACCTTCATTATAGATATTTACTATATGGCCTATGTACCACTCAGTTTCACAAAAAATCCTTTAAGACCTACTATAAGATAAAATTTTATTCTAAAATTAAATTTTATTAAAATAAGGCTTCTGAGAATTTATGGAAAATCAAAATAATGCCATGATTCAATATTAAAAGATTAAAAATAGAAATAGAGTTTTCCTAAAAAAAGGAAAAAAAAGAAAAAGGCAAAATAATCTAAGAGTAATCATCTTAAATTTTTTACTTCGTAAGTAAAACAAGTCTCCCTCAAGGGGAAAAACGTTGCACTTTCAAGGTTTTTGTGACCCATAATGAAATAGCATAAAGTATGAGCGTTAAATGAAAAGTGAAAAACCACTGCAAGATAATAAGCATTTCTACATGTCTTTGGTTTTGAATCTGCCTTTTTTGAGAAGGAAACAGAACAATCAAACCAAAACACATACAAGAAGAAACAACATTGAGTACAGCACAAAAACAGGTAAGAAACACATTTGCTAAAGAGCCATCAATGTTGTTACCAGTGGAGGTTCCAGGGTTTGGAAAGGGAAGGTAGTACCAGTCAGAGGAATATCAGGACAAGGAGCTTATGATGCGGACAGCACAAAGAAGCAGTTGGAACAGAACAATAAATCTCACATCCATGTTGACTGAGTACAGGGCTTTCTACCTATTACCAAAGTTGACATGGGACCAGAGACAAGTACTGCCCTTCAGGAGAAGTTGATTCTACTCCCAGAAGTGTCAACAGCAGTTTTAATGTCACTTTGGCAAAAATAATTTCAGGCTTATAGGTAGTAGACCCGATGACAATTACTCATATATACGCTTCTGCATCAGACTGACATGAGAAACAAGCTACAGTGCACATTCTACATTCCATCATTTTCTTTGGAATCAATTAAATGGTCTTTACTTGAGAATGAATTAATTATTCATAGAGTAAATATCTCCCTTGAAAAAAAGAACGGGAGAAAAATTTTCCACATCTTCAGTACTTCATTTCTAGCTTTTACCGATGGGTAATCATAGCATTGCAAACAGGCATGATCTCAGGTATCCCATAAAATCTAGGATACTTCAGAACTGTTCACTACAGGAGTTTCCCGACATACACACTGGCTAGGCTTTCATAATGCTATCAGGTATTAATACCAGTACCTGTACAATTCTTATGTAAACTACTTTTCAATGAATCAAAAAGATGTGCTTCATAATGTAAAAAATATCTGTGAAGGTAGCATGATGTCAAGAATAACGTAACCCTGAAAGAAAAGGCATACTTTTTTTGGTTGGCTTTGCTTTGTACTGTTTTCTTGAGTTTTCAATAGCTAGATATTAATACATTAAAAAAGTGCTGTTAGCGAATATTATCCCTTTGTGCCAAGAAATTTTTGACAGTGTGATTACCATATTAATTGCTGCTGCTCGGTAACAAATGAAATGAAAACACATTATCCTAAGTGTAGTACTTCGTTAATCTGCCAAATAAAAAATTTCCACTGAGAAAACAAATAAAAATTCAGACCATTCCTATCCCAAATATTTGGCTAATGAAAAGACATCTGCTGTATTTGAGCTTATTGATTCTGCTGAATGGTATACACATTTTGTATTTTAAATTCTAATTTCTCATGGCAATGGGAACATCTCATTGCAACTGCTCCTACAAAGCAGGTAAGGAACCTTCGAGGTATAGGAACTTTAGAAGCAAGGAAGAACCACCTGTAAACATTACTGATTTCTCTAAATTAGCAATGCACCACCTCTTACTTCTATCAACTCCTGACTGCATTAGATAAACCTAGCCAGTGGCAGTTCCTCTCCTTACTAACCACCCTCAAATCCTCACTGGATCCACCACTGATTTCCTGTGCTTGCACAAATCAATGCAGCGATAAAGCCACATTCAATACACAACAAAAATACTGCAGGAGGACTATAGCACAAGGCTTTGTGTGTATAAGTACATATCTATTTTTTTTTAACATTCATCCATCGCAAAGATTGGTCTCACTAAAATGGAAATAAAAAAAAAAATTTAAAAGCTTGCTGCTCTTACATCTAGTCAGCCAGTCACTGTGCAAATCCTGAGAAAGGGAGGAAGAACAAAGTGGGAAGAGCTGACATATAAACAAGAATTTTGGAATACACAATTGTAGTACTAATAATAAACCACTAGTTTAACAGTCTTACAGGAACAAAAAAATCTCATGGTGTTCAGGAGCTGTACAGTGCTGACACAAATCTAAGAGCAGGAAAAATAAAGAATAGGCAGTTGTTTTTAATAATTACCACGCTCATGAGTGATGACTGAGGAAGGGAGAACAGGACAATTAGTTCAAACAAAAAGAAATAGGGAAAAAAAAAGTTGAGAAATTGGTTTTAGCAAATACAAAATATAGTTAGTATTGGGTTTGGCAAAATAAGTTCTGTACTAAAAGAGAAAGATTAAACAAACAGAAAATAAAAAGAAAATCCCTCAAATGAGAAAGCACAAAGATACTCTAACAGAGAGTCAATTATGCAGCATTTAAAGATCTATTTACGGTTGCACTCAAAATCAGTCATTTCTAGAAATAGAGGGAGGAGTCACAAGAAAAATCAGCTGATATCTTGACAGTCTATTTCAAAGTCCAACATTATAAATAATAAATTTAATTAGTAGTAGAAATGTTGTCCAAAAGAGCAAAGCATTGTGCAGAATAATGTTCAGTAAAATACGTATGTAATGGCCAAAACCTTATATGTCAAATAGCTGCATCAGTGCTCAATCCACAATCTTGTGACAAGATTTTATCCACATGGATTCACTTTATTTTGCTTACTCATATAAGTCTAGCAAGGTTTGATCTACAATTTAAACTGTGGGAGCCCTTTCAGAGCAGCAGTATTTATGATCAGTCTTGAAGTCATTCAGTCAAATGTAAAAGTTCATAATTTTGATTTGAGACATGCAGTTGAATATTCAAGAAATATGCCACATAAAAGAGCTACAGGCAAAAAAGCCAATAAGATATGCAGTGTTGCAAATATGAATTATGAACCCCCAAATGCAATAATGATTATACAGTCAAACGTTTTTACCTTGTTTCTAAGATAAAAACATGTTAAAAGATTAGGTCACTGTAGAACTGAAATATAAAAATGTACCATAAAAAAATCCTAAAGATAAGGGGAGAAAATGTGTTTTGGTAGCTCTATTAAATCACACAGAGATGAACCTAATGTTTCCAGACAATCACAGTAAGGGAGCAGTAAAACTTACTGTCAGACAGAGGAAAGAAACTGACAGTGCACTGACAACACAGAGCATAGAAAGCCAAATTGATTCAAAGTCAAAAGTAAAGTGAAAATTTCATAATATTTCCCCCCAAGATAAACAGAAAGGAATTACTTCAAAGAAAAAGTTTTCCCAGTAGACTTTTTTCCAAACAGCAGATCCAGTTCCCTCGACTTCTGATATTTAACTTACACCTTAACTAAATTGGCTGGTTTTCATTCCAGTCAAGACAATTTAAGAAATCAGGTGGGAACTCTTCATTTCATTTTATGCTGAAACTGGTTAGGGATTTCTGAAATGTTTTACATGCATAAACTCTGCTGTTTGTAGCTAGAATCTGTTTTCAATTTTACATGTAATGTCTTCACTTCTTCAAAATGATGGGTAGGAGTTCTCCGAGACCATTCTGAAACTCAGCACATGATAGTGATTTACTTTTAACAAGCATGCGCTTAGGTAGGCCAATTAGATAGAAACCACTCTTAAGAACTGTATTTTAGCTTCAGCCTCTAGATATATCTTTACAGGGTCCTTTCAAGTTTGGCTTGCTTCTGCAAAATGTGAAGGAGAAAAGTTCACAGATCGTTTCTGTTAAATCAATAGTACCTGATCCCTCTTCAGTCACCATCCCAAGGCCTTCTGCTTTGTTCTGACGTTCAAATGCATTTAGGTCAAGAACACTGAAATAAGAAAAATGCCATTTGTCCTTTGCTTAATCAAATAAATATGTGTAATATTTCATTTTATGAAAGATAGAGAAGAATTTGTAATTTCATTTAAGTACATAATCATACTAGCGCGAGAAGATACATTTCAGTGACAATATATGTGTCTGCTACAAGACTACAAAACTCAGTTCTACAGACTTAACCTGCTTTTGCCCTGCAAATGACAATAGATTTTAGCTCTTTATGATTGACCAAAAAAATTGAATGTCTGATAGACATACTCATTTGGGGGATTACACAGAAGCCATATTGTTGACTACTTTCACATAATAGCCCAGTTCATCCCAAGCATCAATGTCCATTAAGAAACTGCCTTTATTAGTTCTACTCCCTGAAAATTCTGAAAAACTGAAGCTGCAAAAATGGAATATATATTCAACTAACCAGATCTAAGGAACATATACTCTTCCATATTTTTATTTGTGACTCTGCAAAGTTCTGCCTTCCATGGCTTTGTATGTCAGCTAACCATAAGCAACTTTTGTTCATAAGCAAGAATGTTTATGGAAGTCAGATGAATGTAGATGAACTACAGTAGTAGTTCTGATGGCACGAAACCTCACTGATGTTTCAAAATGAACAAATTTCAAAATGAAATCTGGACAAAGACAACGTTAAGAAAAAAGGATATAACATGCTACCCTTGACATAACAGAATAAAACAGGAAGCCCTTTTAATCCTATGTTTTATGTTCCTTAACACATAATTTACATAATACATAAACCATTGATATGGTTTAGTCTTAGGAATTATATATAAAACATTTATTTATATATTTATGTATATTAGATTGATATGAACTGTCAAGAAGCGTGTATGGACAAAAAAGTCACAGTATTTTCACAGTTTATTAAAACGCAACATTCCATTCCTTTTTTTGCCTTCTAAAAGGTCCTATTAATACTTCTAACAAAGCTGGGTTTTCACAAAATCTTTATAATTACTAACACTGATCATTAATTTGCTCTCTCCAGGATTACAGCACACCTCCAGAGTTGCCCCAATGAATGCTCTTAAGTCTGGTGCTGTTTTCTAACATACCTCAAGTAGACAGAAACGTCAAATGCAGCTGTGAAAAAAGCTGTTACCAAGCTTGATATGTATCAGATGAAGATTTTCATACCATCAGCACCACCTTGTCCTTTCTCCCAAATGCAGCACATTAAAGGCTCCAGGTGCTGTTTGCAAAAAGTATGTAGAGGTTCTTTCCAAAACTATAAATACTGTGGAATAAAACCTAAATGCACTAACAAATTTTTAAAGTAGGCATTTTCTTACCTACAGGACTGCATAAGACCAGCAAGGCTCTGAAAAAATCCCACATCCTTTTTATCCTTGAGGTAGTCAAGCATTTTCTGCAGTAAACACAAATAATTTATGCACAGAATTAATATTTATACTATGTGTTAATCTAGTTAATATTATATGGATTCTAGATTACTAGTGATCCTGGTGTTTTGAAATCTGTCTAATATTTACAAATCGTATAAAAGAGTCTTGCAGAGAAAAATCCAAGTATCAAAGATTAAAAGAACATTTAGTGCTCATATCCTTTACAGAAAAGAGGGTCATCCATTTTGACTAGTCCTTCTAAAACATGGAAAATACAGATAGTTACTAAATTTAACACAGCCAGCAGAATTTATTGTTTAACATAATCTTGCCACGAGCAGGCCGCAAATTTGTACTGACACTACTGTTTCAGCACTGGACCAGACTTGTCATAACTTCAGTTTGGTTTAGATTATTTTAGCTGCATCAGAACTTTAGTAGTCATATGAGTATTTTTTACATTTCTTTTTGCTTTACTCTAATATGTAATATCTCTCTGATAATAGATTGCAGTAACAAGAAGCTATTCAGTGGAGTGAACTCTGATTCTAGAATGCAATGTGCTGTTGAGTGAAGATTTAGGATTATACCAAAAGTCCCAGTTGTGAACAAAGATCACAATGTTCAAAATTAGTCTTAGAAGGGATACTACAAGGATTCAGGTTGTAAACGAGGTAAAATTCTCTTTGCAAATAGCAAAAATAATAGGAATAGTGGATAATAAGTAACCTTCAGAATGAAAAGGCGCATAAGCAGATAGTTTGAAACATTATCAGCAAAACTCCAAGTAGACTCAAGGTCACAGAAAAAGAAAATCCCGTCCTGGGTTCAGCTACAGCAGTCATTTTTTGTCCTTCTTAGTAGCTGGTGCAGTGCTGTGATTTTGACTTTCAGCCTGGGAACAACGCTGATAACACTGATGTTTTTAGTTGTTGCTAAGTAATGTTTACTCTGACCAAGGACTTTCTCAGTCTCATGCTCTGCCAGGGAGGAGGGGAAGCCGGGAGGAAGCAGAGACAGGATACTTCACCCAAACTGGCCAAAGGGGTATTCCATACCACAGCACGTCATGCCCAGTGTATAAACTGGGGGGAGTTAGGTGAAGGGCCAGATCACTGCTCAGGTCAGGCTGGGTATTGGTCGGCAGGTGGTGAGCGGTTGTGTCCTCTCCCCTTGTTATTTCCATTATCATTATTATTATTAGTGGTAACAGTAGTGGTTTTGTATTATACCTTAGTTACTGTACTGCTCTTATCTCAAACCGTGGGAGCTGATTCTCCTCCCCATCCCTCTGGGAGAGGGGGGAGGAAAAAGGAGAGGGAGTGAGTGAGCGGATGCATGGTTCCAAGTTACTGTTGGGCTTAAACCACGACACCCCCATCAACAACACCATACTAATCAAAGCAAAGTGTAGAGGATGCTCATGGCAACTTTTCAAAAGCACTTTTGTACATCTTCCCCCACCCAAATCATTCTTCCCAAGGAAGACTGAAGATTTAGTCTTAGAACCAAACCTTAGGAAAATCAGAAAGGAAAGCATCATACCAGAGAAAATGGGTAGAAATGAGGCAAATGAAAAAGCAGCAAATCTGACTGTATTACTCAGATAGCAGGAAAAAAAAATCTTTACTCTGAGGGTAGTGAGACACTGCAACAGGTTGCCTAGAGAAGTTGTGGCTGGGCCATCATTGAAGTTCAACTGGATGGGGCTTTGAACAGCCTGACCTAGTGGAGGGTGTCCCTGCCCATGGCAGGAGGGGTTGGAACCAGAGGATCTCAAAGGTTCCTTCCAACCCCAACAATTCTACGATTCTATGAAGAAATCCTTCCCTCCCACAGAATTTCTCTAGAAGTTAACAATTTAACATAAAAATACCCTCTTTCAACTGAAATGCAAACCAAATTTCTTTTAGCCATGTATTCTCTAGATCAATTACATGCATACAAATTAATATACACCTAGCAAACAAGGTACTTTTGTACACTATTTTCTTCTGAGAATGAATAAGAAGATAAACAGCATATGACAAATGGTCACATTACATAATGCCCTACTACAATAATAATGACCACAGTACAAAGATCTGTAATGACTAGAATGGGTGAAAATAAATTTGTACCTTACCTGTTGAACAGTAGAGTTTCCTCCATTCAAGATAGCAATCCCTAGCTTTAGGGTAGCTGCAACCATTGGACCCATCTCACCTTAAAATGATTTTAAAATACACTTTTAGATCATATATAAAAATAAGAATGTTCTGTTAACTTATCTGTACAATGACATAAATGATAATTTATCAGGAGAGGTCTTCTTATTTCTTTTGTAAAACAGACCTAGTTTTGTTTCATGATCTCTAGTGTAATTTTGTTTCTTCCTGAGTGACTACAGACATAATATAATGTATACACAGCAAACAAAAGACGCAAAATATGACAGGAAGAACTGAGCACAATGAATATAAATCATGTTTCATTCACTAGAGCATCCAACAGTTGGTTTAAGGCTGGGTGCATAATTTTTAGCTAGCTTTCAAGTTTAACAGAGTGTCTCCTCTACCTGCTGGCCTAGATATTTTTTCCTGTATCTTCAGAAATTTACAGTGATCCGAAGCATTTAGTTACAGTAAATTAAATTTTTAAATAGGAATTTTTAAAGCATCACTACTGTAGAAAAAAATCACAGAACAGCCCATGAAAGCATCAAAACTTAGAGTAAGATGGTGTCTACGGGACAAAAGAATACCAATAAAGTAGATATTTGGGAAGCAGGGGCAGAAAAATCTCTACCTACTTCAGAACTCTGCAAATGACAGAATTTGGGGGCCTTTTTATGTCACTGAATACTGCTAAAGCTATGAACTTTTTCACACTCAATCATCACTAGAAAAATTATTATTATTATTAATGATGATGATAGTAACAACAACAGTAGTAACCTCATGAGAATTATTAATTAAACTTTCCTGGATTAGCTGTCAATAATTTTTGAAACTTTGGATGCATTTTGAAAGCAAACTATAATGCCAAACCTCTTCAGGTTTTGCCCAGGAAGAATTACAATCATTTCAAAGATCATTAGAAATAAGGTTTAATATGGTACGTACACAACAGAACATTACCTTTACTAGCACTGATCGTCTGTAGAACCATCTCAGCAGCACCTCGGTCATGCAGTCTGGCTTGCTGATACAGAAGTTTTTGTTTTTCCATTTCTTTTTCCTGAACAAAAAATCCAGTCATTTAAGATGAGAACTTCAGTTAATATCAGTTCTCCAAAGATTTTTGGTTTTCTCTTAGTATATGGGCTCTATGGCAACATCATGGACCATTTCAATACATACAATGCTACTGAACAGATATTTAACATGTTCAAGTAATTTTCTCCCTTTGGTATTTTTCTTTATTATGCTTTTAGCAGTTTATCTGAAAAGAGTCATCTCAATTGTAAATCATTAAGTTAGTTCAAAGCCCATGTTCATGATATATACTGCATATATCAAACTTGCACTTTTGTGCCATGTTTTTGTGCAACAGTTTATATTCTTAATAATCTTCTATACTGTGACCATAACTTCATACTGCTCAGTGTGCGGCTCTTGAGTTGCAAGTTGTTGCTGAATACCAGAGTAACAGAAGCATCTCAGAAATTTTTTCCAAACATATCATCATATTACAATGTAGATTGCCCACCTTTCCAACAGAATATTTGATAGAATACACTGTGCTTTTATATTTTGCATTCTCTAGCGGCAACAAACAATACTGCATGGCGTTGCTTGAGCAATGGTGAAGTTTGTTCTTTATAATTTAAACTACTACCGAAAACATAAAGAACATAAAGAGCAAACATAAAGGCACAGTTAATTCCAGATGAGTTTGAACTTTCACCAAGTTAATTGAAGTTTGCTGGAGAATTGAGGATGACTAAGCAGTATAAGTTGCAAAATGGAAGTTGCATAGAGCCCTGTGACAGCAAGTCCATCAGATGGCGTGGTAAAAAGCTTACTCAAAAGGAACATGACACAACCCGTTAGTATCATGTCCAAAAACAACGCCCAAAACATGTATGGCCTAAAAGCAGGAACAGCTGCAGCAGAAGTAGCCAGAATGACAGCTTTGCTGCCATAAACTTTCCATCCAATTTACGGAAAAACGACATTGGAAGATGGAAGAGGTTTAAAAAATGAAGGCTTGCTAAATAGAGGGCATGAATAATAAATTAAAAAAGAAGAGGTAAAAAATAGAAATATGTTCAAATGAATGAAAAAGAAACCTTTAACTCAAAAGCAAACCAACACAGACATTTATGCTGTTACCAGAGAGTTCTCGCCGAGGCTGGCAAATTTGTTTCTTAAATCTTTGATAATATCGTGCTGCGGAAACAAAATTCATCAGGGTTGTTGCTTTTTTTTTTTTTCACACTATTAGCTCTCCTGTGGTTAAATTGTATCTTTATTTTTTTTTTCTTTAAATTATGTGACAGATCTAGATGGAGGCACAAAAAGGGAAAAAAAAAATAAAAATATGGCAGCTTTGCTTCATATTTAGCCATGCTAAGGTTTGAAAGTTTTGCCTTCATGTTTAAACCTCTTCCTGTGAATTCAACAAAAACAAAACAGAAACATACACACACGCGCACACACACACCACACGCACAAACCACCAGAAAATCATGACATCACAGGTTCAATATAGCTACAATAAATTTTTCTTTTTTTTTCTTTCAAATTCCACTGAAATTTTATCAGTGTTTCTTTTTTAAAAAATATTTCCTATTTCTACCTACTCTTAGTTTTAGACCCAACAATCTTTCATTTTTCTTCCTTTGCAAGATTTAATATTCGCTTTCATTCACAAGCCCAACATCAGCTATACTGCTTTAATTATGCAATATTTTTTGTAAGTTTATGAGAATATGCTTAGAGTGAAGACGTTTCTGCATGATCTACAGACTAAAAGAATGGGTATTCATAATTCTTATAATGGCACTATAGAAAAAACAGTAGAAACAGGCATTGCAAAACAGCTTCAAGTGAGAAGAGTGGCATTTTCCACAGAAATCAAGCTGTCTAGGTAACTAGTAATAAAGCAAACAAACAAAAATAAAAATTCACCACCAAAACCCTTTGCTCTAAAAGCAGCCATTCCTTTGTTGATAATCTTCAGCTTGACAGTTCTTTAGCACTGTTGCTTTCTGTATGTAATGTTAATACATATAAAGAAAACCAACACTATTTTATCTTGGCTGTTTTTCATTTATACGAGAAAAAGCTGACCACTTAGAAACGTGCATACGTGTATCCCCGCATTATAGACTTTGTCCAGCAACCTACCAAACCAAGAAAACTTCCTAATCATACTCTTTGGAAGCAGAGACTCAAACATTTTCTACTTCATTCTATTTAGTTTTGGTTTTAAACTGTTACAAGTAGCCATATGCCAAAAAACACATTGGGATAAACTGCAAGTTTTAGCTTGACTTTGTAAGAAACAAACTTGCAAAACCTAAATAGGAACTTTAACTGACAAATGCACCACTGCAATTATTTATTTCCTCGTAATCCATACGAAGAATGATTCTTGGACTCTGTCTTAGAGCCATATGGGGAGGTTTGTTTGCTGTTACCACTAAACTCTCAGCCATAGAGTGCAGGCGGTAGCACCCTACATATTTTTTAATAAAAAACTATGAAACAGTTAAAAGAGTAAACAGAATAAAGAAAAAGATGAAAAGGGAAGAAATTACTTTCAACTCAACTATTCTAAGATGAATGATTCTCCTTTGAATTGTCTTCATATTTTACACTTTTTAAGACCTCTGTTTAGGCCAGAAAATAAGTCCTATTAGATAGGTATTACACTGGCAAAACATCTGTTAATTTCAGTGTCAGGCATGCATGAGTAAAAGCTACGTATTAAAAGATAACATCAAGTACTCAAGCAATTTACTCAAGCACTTTATATATATTTATATATAGACAGAGGGAGCCTTTAAGATCAATACATGCTGGTTTATGCTCTATAAAGTTGAATTTTTCCTTAATCACTCATTTTGGACTTCATCAGCTCTAAAAAGCATATACATGAAATGTCTCCATTTCAGCTTACAGCAATATTTTTACCAACGTCACCATGTTTGTACTGTCACCCATTTATATCTTCTTCTCTAGCAAGAAAGTCAGTTTTGTTTCCTACAGACTGCCTCCATATTCTTGCCATGCTGATGATGTGACTCAACATATTCATTTCCATTCAAGCAGATATGAACTGATAAAGTATTAAGTCTCTAAAAGGAAAAATACTGTATTGGGTGATTTCAAAATCTTTGTGTTCTCAGTTTCCAACTTTTTTCTCCAGTGGTGCATAGCTATGAAACTACACATTACTTCCAAACTGAGGCACCCTTTCTTGTTTAAAGTTGGGTGACAAATTTGACGTATTTGAAATAGCCGACATAGATGTCTAACTTTCTATACAAATAATAAAAGAAAAAGGTAAGGAATTGCTTAGAAGATTCCACTGTGATTGGAATTGAGTCAGCTGGAGCAGAAAATCTTATGTACATGGACAAGTTAGTAAGATTATTATGTAAACACTGCATTAAAAATAAGCTAAAAAATTGAACCTATGAATGGTCACTTAATCATTGCAATGGATTTTCTCTTCAATATACATCACTCCTTTACCCCAGGACTGCCAAAGGTCATGCTTACGTAGGTGTCCATCCAGTTATGTTTGCTACAGCAGTGCCAGGTGGTGTTTGACTTGAAAGACAGGGCAGATGGGAGTCTGGGACTCTTGAAAATTACACTATTGCTGGTATAAGCAGCAGAAACAATGTAGGGGGAAAAGATGCTGATAAACACAGAAGATGGGAAGCAGCTAGAGGACCCAATGGAATATCCTAATGAATAGCCTAAAATCATCGTTTATCACTAAGCCCCCAAATTGAAACTCAGAGAAAAGCATGTATATATTAATCACCCCCTCATTGCGGGGTCTGGGAGGTTTGGACTAGATGATCTTTAAAGTTCCCTTCCAACCCAAACTATTCTATGATTCTGTGTATAAATAACTTATCCTGTAGTCATGGAGAGTGAAACCATGTGTTAGGTTGCATCTGTTCCATTATGGATAAGAAAAACTAATGAGAAACACATTTTTGCATACTATTGGAATGTTTCATTCCTAAGAACTGATACATTGATCATGGAGTCTGACTTTAATTCTTACCATTCTTTAACAAAAATAGTTACTTATTGTAAATGCATGGTATATGATCACTCAGTTTATGTAGGCATTGTGACAGTGAGTTAATGGTGACCATCTCCAATGGGCTAGTGCCTTAAAAGCTTGCATTATCTGTATGTACTGACATTCACAGGTCTTTCTGTGCCTGAGATAAAGTGCCAGCACAATGTATCATTTTTACCAAAATCTAATGAATACAAAAGTCTGTCAATAAAGTTACTACCTGCAACAGGGATGAAGAAAACTGACATATGAAGCTCTATCTCTCCCATTCTTTTTCTTCCTGTGAAGAGCCAATTTAAACCAATTGATTTTAACAAGGTGAACTACGTTTTGATTCCTTTTTTTGAGTTCCCATCCTGCATGTATTTAGAGCACATGAATACGTAGCAAACACAGAAACCTATTTACATTTAGCTAGTGAAACAGTTTGATTGGAAAGCATCTCCTATCAGATAGAATCAAGTGGGACAGTGACACCAATTCTACAGGGAGTCAATTCAGCATCTGTTTAATATGATAGAAAGCTAACTTAGAGACAAAGGGCAAGGAGCAAAGATAATAATAAAAATTCCAACCAAATACTAGCAGGCAAATGGAGACAGAAACATAGTAACATGTGGATAACTTTATTGTGGGTTTATATTGTGACCTCCCTACTGCCCACACGGTGATCCCAATACAGATTATTTGTACAAAAATGAGACTACACTGCATGAGATATGGGCATGAAAATTGTAAATAAAATACACTTGTTTTTATCACATTCTAAGCTTCCCCAGAGGCCTCTGGTGCTCTGACTGTGAAAAGATTCAGGACTTCAAACATCACACATTTTTAAATTCTAGAAGAGCAACAGAGTTTTATTCCCATACAAACTGAACCACCAGTCTTTTCACATGCACATAGAACATATAATAAAAGAACTGCTTTCAACATTGAACTTTAAGATAGATTGACAGACAGAAACACACAAATGCACACATGCACACGTAGAGCTGGTATGTATATCCTCCTATCCTTACAACTGTTTCTACAGCTGTTTCCTGTCACGTATGAAGGAAGAAAAGATTATATGTTGTCGAGAAGTTTAAAACACTTCTCAGTCAGCAAGACAGAAGATTTTCTATGGAGCATATGGCATTTAGCTTATGGTAACCAGCAGGCAAACTGCTAGACATGTAGTATTTGAATAGCTGAATTAATGAAAGAAACAAAGAAGAAATACTATTAGGCTGCTTACACACTTTTTTGCAGGGGGAGGCGGTGTTGTAATATGTACTTTGTGTTTGTGGCAATTAAAATGCCTTTTAAACAAATTTTTGTGAGTCTGTCTGAGCACATTCATCTTCCAGGATAATGTTTTTATTGTATGAAGGTGGAACTGTGCAAACATTTGAAGGAGTAAGAGTGAAGCTGATTCTGGAATACATCTTTTCTTTCCACAGCCATATGGAACCTCTTTCTTTTGTGAACTGAATGTTAATAGAAGAACTAGCAGACAAAACCCAAATCATCTCACTCTTTTCAATGGGGAAGGCTATAATTGTTCTCCATACTGCCGCAGGCAAAGAACTTTGAAGCTACTGACTGAAGTCTGACCATCAGCTAATAAAGCTGTGCATTCCCAATCTCAAGTCATGTCTACTTAGTCTAGCTGCTGTTAGCCACAGCACGAGTGACTACACTTAAATGTCCCAGAATAAAAAATTTGCTACCCCACGCACCATACTTCCGCTCAGAACATCAACCTTGCAGCTTTATCAGCAAGCAGCCTGAGTCAACAATGGGAACTGAGACTTTTACTTGCATGAAGTAGGCAAGTAGGCTGGTGCTTAAGCCATGGGACACCTTTTAGAAACAAATGGTGAGACTTTCATGATGAGACACAAAAGGCTGTGTAAGAAAATTAGTCAATTACAAAAATTAACACTGAAATTTCAGAGCTACATTTTTAGAGAAAACATGGAACAACTAGGAATCATGTCACGTATAGAGTAGCTATGGAGTTTCTATCAAATACTATCACGAGGAAGGCTGAGGAGTCCATCTATTTTTAAAAGTATCTGAATCACAAATAAACTATAATGTAATTGATGCTCTCTCTGTCATAAACTTTGGAAACAGAATTCTACTACACTGTCAGAAATGCATGTCTGCTGAGATACAGAAGAAAAGCCCAACTGCTTTCCCTTAAGAGCCAAATAAATTATTGTAATCATTCTAATTAAATTATAACTGGAAAGAAGATAACTGATGCACAAAAGGAAAGAACAGCAAAACAACATGAACAAGCCAAATGACACTCTTTTTTTCCCCAAAATGGCAACATAATTTTATATGACATATTTTCCATAAATAATTCTTGGAGTCTTTAAAAAGAGTTTGTGCACAAGAAGGGTTTAGTAGAGATGTCATGCTGGAACTGAAACATTAAAAACGTTTTCAAGACCCTTTAGTTGAACTTATCCAAGATGTTGGGCCTAAAAAAATCACAAAATTAGACCCAGACAAATACACACATATTTTTTTTGTTTTACCTTGCTGCGTTGTGATCCTGTCACCTTAAGGAAGGGCAAGGACAAGAAGCGAAATAGTAATAAGAAAAAGAAGTCCAAATTTTTTTTCTGCAGGTGACTGACCAAATACATACACAAAATTGTCTTTTGAACAGATTAACACATTGTTTGCACATAAGTTTCTTGGCTACAGAAAAAACAATAATGAGAAACAAATGAATAGGATCTTCTCTCAACAGACAAAGTTGAATGTTGAACAAGGAACCCATTATAATTTATGCAAGTACTAATAAATCTTTTAGTGATAAATTTGTTCATTCAGCTCAATGACTTCCTATTTATAAATTTTCACATTTATAAGCACAAGACTTTTGATACCTAACAAGCATGCATAGGCTGACTGAAAAAAAGCTTACAGAAATAAATATTCTTTGTTTAACCAGTGATACATCATACATTGCATTTCCAGGGAGGGGGGAACACACCAAACAAAATGAAACAAAACAAACAAACAAACAAACCCCAAACAAACAAAAACTAAAAAAAAACCCAAACCCAAAACAAACTCAAACTAAAAAAAAAAAAAAAAAACCAAAACAAACTCACCACACACACAAAAAACAAAGCCCTGAAATTTTGATTTCTACCTAGATATTTACCAAGAACCAGAAATTTATATATTGGGTACATTAGCTGTAACTCAACTGGACTAGATCTTCAGAGTGACTGAAAAGAATTTGGTATCGGTATTTTTTCCAATTTCTGTATGCAGCCAAATGGGGAATACATACTTAAATAATTCAGTGCTATCTCATGCAGCATCATGTAGAAAACATACGAACATCTGATGTGTACAAAAGAATGAGAGCGAAAGTTAACATGCCCCAAACCACTTCTCAAAAAGAGAAACAGCACAGGTAGTTTAATATCAAACCAATAAGTATATTTATAAATATTTAAAAAGGCATATATTTCATGTTTCTGCATTTTAGAAAAGATATTAAATATAAGTATTGATGTTAAAGATATAAGGCAATATTTAATGTCAGAATTATAAACTAAAATATATTAAAATATTGAATACGTTAACAAGCTAATTCCCTCAGTGACCCTCAGAACAGAAAAACTTCTTGTAAACTCCATTTTATTAATGGAAAAAGAGGGGCAGATCCCAGAGCAAATACATGACAAGGACTCATCTCTTACTCTTGTAATCAACTCATGTAAGTGTGCTTCCTTATACATTGATGATCATAAAAAAAAAATCAATATTAAGCAACAATAAATACAGATTTCCTATTCTCCATGTAAGAAAAAGCTTGGCAGTACTGATGAACCTTTTACTCAGAAGCACTAATATATACGTGGACATAAAAATACTGTATAAACTACTGGTACTGAATGTAAATTACTCCTGCAAAAAGCACTATTTCAGTATTTAAATGATCCAAACTAAAGGAGTAAGTTACTACCCATTATATTTCTCTTCAACAACTAAAAATTTAAAGTCAATCAGATAAACATGTAAGATCCATTAAATTATTCTCTCTCTAATCTTAAATTATTTGATAATACATATGCTTTTGGTTTACTACTATGAATCTGGTGACTCATATCTGCCAATCCAGTTACTGACATGCAGTTCCCTAACACTATAAGCTGCAGTAAGCCATGAACCAAGAAACATAAATGTCAGTTGGAAGCTATGAAATAATGTCTAACATGACAAGAAAAACAAAACAGAAGAATAATCTTACTTCAAAACTCTTCACTTCTTCTTCACCATCATCATCTTCTTCATCATGGCAGCTCTGATACCATGTAGAAAGAAAACATTTACTGATAAGTTGGGAGTGATGGTGGTGTGTCTAAGATTTCCTTCACTTTATACATAATTTCTCTTGATCTTCATTAATTTTATTAAAACAAAAAAAATGTACAAGATAGCAAAAAAAGTTACCTTTGCCATAATGTCAGCATAGGCCATATACAGGAAATCTTCTTCCAATTTGCTGGTTAACAGAGAAGAAAGACAAAAGGAGGAAGATTAGAGCCATTATAGTAGAATTGGAACACCAAAATATTTTTAAGCACCTTAAAAATCTTTTAAAAGTATTTCTGTGCCCATAATTAATAACAAAAGTCTGGAAAATTAGGACTGCATTAATTAAGACAAACTGAAAAGTAAAGCCAGCTACACAGTACTCAGAAATCCATAAACACATTCCAATGAGGAGGATATAGTTTTTTTTTTAATTATACCTAGAATATACTTATATTTCACATTCAGAATACAACCATTAATAGCAAATACAGTCAAAAGACAGAGGTGCACTATGTCCTGTACAGAGCATCTATGACTGTGAGGAAGTTTATAGGGGTATCTGTCTCTAGAAAACTCTTTGCATCTCATTATCAGTCAGGTTAAAATCTTTTTACATACCACAGGCTAGAGTTGTGCTCACACTCACCATATGTACATACGCACATGTTTTGTCCTAGCCTATGCAGTCTCACTTGAACAAGACATATATAACTCCAAATACAGAAATAATCTGAAAATCTGCATACACTGCAGTCTCTCACACCATCCCTACCATTTTTCAGTCAAGGCTGTTCGACTGAATAGGAGAATAAGTTGATGTAAAGGATCAACTCTCTTAAGGCTTTCATCGTCTTCTGCTGGTTCCTCCCCAGGTTTCTTTAGGAAAAAAAGATTTTTAAAGTATATTCAATTATCTATAGTGAAAAATGCTTTACTCTGTGCAATTTATTACACATTAAAAACTTGCATACATGATTTTGATTTGGTCAACCAGGAGGAAACAAGTCCCAAACAAAGTATGAAAAGTCTGAATCCTGATCATCTTTATGACCATGAAGACTTACAAAGATGATACCATTTGCAAAGCTTTGCATTTCCTCTCCTCATAAAAATTAATCCTCTTCCCCAGATTCTGAAAATAACTTCAATCTTTTACTGTTATCCAAAATCCGTGGCAACCAGATGCCATAATTTGCTGCTACATTGTCTGTTTCTCTCTAGGTTAACGAGCTTCATTAGCTAAAAGTTAGAATCCTCTATTGCAAGTCTTATGCCAGGTATAATGTTCACTCTGGAACTCTGAGAGACTTTCAGGGAGAGGAAATCCAAGCTTGAAGCTCAACAATAGTTTTAGACAGAAGGAGCCATATCTACCAATAACAGTAATACTGGCAGGATGTAGAATTTTAGATGATGATGAATCAATAATATATAAAAAGTATTATATATCATTCAATAATATATACAGACACAAATAAGGTGGATTGGTTGGTTGGTTGTTTTTATTTGTTTGGGTTCTTTTTGCTTTCAGGTTTAGACAGCCTTAATTAGTTCACCCTAAAAGAAAAATGTAGTCCTAAATATTATAATGGCAATCACCAAAACAGTGTTTTGAAAAGAATCTACACAAAATCTGTCCTCTGGCTTCTTGCCTTTTGCCAGAAGACATATCAAAAAGTAACTTTTGCTTATCAGGTTATTGATAAAATTGTTTCATCCACACATATTTTTCTACAAAGTATCTGGTAGCTCAAGGAAAACTGGTTGCATAAATTAATTTATGCCCACTCCTCCTCCTTGTTTTCACCTAGCAGTATACACTAAAATACAGACAAAAGAAAGAAATTGTGATGATGTCAGATATTATCTGTTAACTGTAAGAGTTGGCCACATGACAGATGTAAGGAAAATGGATTTTTGCCTATTAAAAAAAAAGTGTATGCTAGTGTCAAATACATTCTTGTGGGACTGCTTATACATCTCTATACTTCCTTGTGAAGTCCACCTTTCCCACTCAGCTGTACCAAACATGACTGGTTGCAGCTGAGAATTCACTTTTATTGACCTACACGCAATATGACTGTTTCACATGCTATAGGTCTAAGATGGCCATACAAGGTTCATTTCACATTCTGCAATATGAGATAGTATTTTCGGTATCAATGGCAAGATCTGAACAATGCAAATTATAATTCTAGTTATCTCACCATTATGGAGGTCTTTCCCTGCTCCATATTTCAATCTCATTTATGATGCTGACCTTTAATTAAATGGCAGAAATCTATACTTACGTTATCAACCAGAACATCTGTCTAATGTTATCAAAATTGATGAAGCAAAAAGGCAAAAGTTGTGTTAATGTTTAATACAAGTTATTAGTTTTCATAGATTTAATTCAATTTAAATGGAGGATCAAATTCACCAATGCCTGAGTTAAGTAGAACTCATTAAGCACAGTGCAATCCCTAGAACTAAATGATTTTCTGAAATTCTGGGAGACAAGTATTGTTAATTTCCACTGTTTTGGGAAATTCACCCTAAGGTTAAAGTGTTAAATAAGGTTAAAGTGTTTAATAAGGTTGAACTGTAAAATAAAAAGCTTTAACTGAATGTAACATAGGAAGATAAAACCAATAAGTTTTAGTTACCATTTCTAAATGTTGAAATTTTAAAAGATATAATTTTTGTATAATCTGATCAATAAACATCCATTAAACATATTGTTCTTATACATTATTCTATCAAGTAATGCCTATCCCCAAAACTAACCAATAATTTTATCATATAAGCTTAAGTGTAACCTATTTAGTTGAAGCAGAAGCATTTTAACTATTAATAAAGATAGTGTGGAATATTGTATGATTTTAATATAAAACATTAAAAATCTAGTTCCCTTAGAGGCTTGATCTGTTAAATCAAAATTAAGAATCAGCAGAATCCAGCTCCTCAAATAAAGGACTTATGAATACTTTTTTCTTTTACTATACAGAGGTGGAAGAAGTGGAGCCACTTTTGTATAATAGACTTAAGGACAGAAGCTTTAGGAAACAAAACTGCTTTAGGGGATGCAAACACTCATCTCCCACATTCCAGAAAAGCCCTTACCACAGGTCTATAAATTGCCTGGGTCTGGCAAAGTCTAAAAGGAGGTAGTTTTTACTCAATTTCTCCCTTTAAATTGTTCTTACTTAGCAGAAAAGACAGTTCAAGACACTCAGTATTGAGAAAGAATGTGCTACAGCATACAACATTGTAGTTTACTGACTACAGAGAATTAAAGGACAGGAGGTTTTGGCTATATTCTCTGGGCCCTGGATAGTTCCAGTTTTGTACTTAACATGTGAACAGTTCAGAAACTTCAGATAATCCTTCGAGCATACATTAGAGAACCAAGGTTCCTCCTTTGCCCCCTTCCAGATGGGTTCTGCCACCACAGCCCAGGCTGTGATTCCATCTTGACAGTCCAATAAATCTTTAAATCCTTGCTATACCAGGGTACAACTTCTCCAAGAGTGACAGAGAACCGTCACGTTAGCTTCTTCTATTGCAGAGAGCAGGCTCGCCTCACAATAAAAAGATCGATCTCAGACTGTGTTCTGTTGGACCTCCCAAGGTCAGAATCACTTCCTAGCCTTCGAAAGAACTACCTTTCTGAGAGACAACTGTAAGGGATGAGGACACAAAGATTAACTGAAAATCACCCCAGGGATTTACCAGGCTAAAGACAAGGTTCTAACACTTCACTGTTGGGAAAAATCCTCACCTCCCTCACAAGAGGATTTTTCTGTGAAGAAGAATCAGACTCTGCTTCTGAAGGATTGACTAATCCACATCCAGAATTCCTCTAATTTCATATTCTAACCTTGTGACTTAAATGGCTTTACAAATTCTTCAAATACATAAAGGTTAAGTGCAAAGAAAGAAGGAATAGGCTGTTCCCCTTCTCCAGAGGGTAGAAGATAAGAGATAGGGGAATGAAAGCAACTAGCACGTAATTTACAGAAAAGTTTCAAATGTTTTGTAAAAGGTTACTGAATGCTTGAAGCAGACTGCCTGAGGGGAATCTGGAATATCCATCACTTGTAATTTTTAACACCTGTCAGAATGACTTAGTTATAGCTCACTCCTTTGGTTAGATACAGCTTAGATGATGTCTTACATATCTCACAGACTTATTATTATACAAGATGAATGTTAATCCACAACACATTCCCATGACCCTTTGCACCCAGACATACTGCTAAGTCTTCTATCAGTTTGTCTTCAAAATAGTGCTCTTCTGTTTCAATCCACGATTTATCATAGCCTTGAAGAAAGAGATTGACGGCTCGGTGCCTGAAAAGGGACATTTAAAACAAAAGCTGTAAACTTTTTAAGAGAATATTAGGTTAATATGAACTTGAAGAACTCTCTAGTCATTTACAAGGAAAGCAAAACTTCTATGGTAAAATCTGACAAAGGCACCTATTTTACAAATTAAGTCAACATTAAAATGTTCTGTGCAAAACTATGTCCCATTAACTTGTAAAACTGGTATTCAAATGTATTAATAATTATTTTGCAAACAAATAATAAATAGAAATATAAAGAAATTTAAACCCAAGTAAGAAAAAAAATCAATTTGCCACATTAGTGATTTTTATTTTTAATATAAAATATTTTAATACAATTTTACTTAAAAAATAACAGCAATAGATAACTTTGGATTGTACCAAATAATTGGTTTTTTTAATGTTCAGTATTAGAATTGCACATCTAAAATAATAAACCTTTTTTTTTTCAAACTCCATGAAATCAAATGAATGATGAGGGTAGAGGAAAGAGGGTAGTCTAATGATGATGTTTACTGGTTTTGGGGGGTTTTGAGGATTCAGTGCAAAATAGACTGTGTGACAACTAATCCTCCATTAATAATTTTATTAATAATTTAAATTTTTTTAAACACCTGCCAGTCTCATGTACTGAAAAGGAAGAAGCATAATTGAAATATACAGGAACGCTAGTTATGTGCAGGTGACCTACTTGAACAGCTACAGATGGAAATATTTTTGTTCTATTTCCAACTGTCACAGCAGCCTCATTTCAAGCTAGTATGCTTTTCATGCCCTTGCACTTCCTGGGACAGACTAAGATTCATACTACAATCTATGGTAGTAGTTATGCATAATTTGAGGAAAAATTAGAATATAATGATGTTGAAAAGAACAGATACAAGCATTCTGGAAATTATTTTTAGAAATTGCATGAAAAGACAGTTGCCTTTTTCTGAATGTTCATTCCTTCCAGAATCTCAGGATTCTGAAACTTGCTCAATTATAGATCTCATTCTCTATTGAATAAGAAAGAAGAGGAAAAGAAGCCACAGGAAAAGGTGTGAAATGCCTTGAGTATGTGCATGTGTTTCTTGTCTAATATAATGCTCTTCCCAAAAATGCACAACAAATAGACATGCTTTCAGATAAATAGTATCAGTTTATTTCCTCCATTTAGAATATATAGCATCTAATAATGAAGGTAACTCCATATTTCCAGAGTTACACCATGGGTTAGGGGGAAATTTATCTCCCAAGATGATATTACAGTGACACCAATATGTCAGTTTCTGCATTTATTTCTTATGAAAAGTGTCTACTTTTCAGAAAAGAAAACATACCAGGAGGAACAGATGGAATAGCAGGAGGAAAGAACAAGAAATTTAAAATTATGCTTTTTTATATTTATTATTCTTTTCAGAAGATGTATTAGAAGAAAGTAATTAGATCTATTAGAAGAAAGTAATATGCAAAGTATATTACCACTCAGTTTATCAATTACCAGATTACATGTTTTTATTCCTTTTGATCTCACCAAATAGCACTGTATGAACATAAATGCATTTGTGAAAAAGAGAATACGTGTAGCTCTTACCTTGGCAGATTATACAATGGTGCCATTCTAAAGCAGGCAACTACTGCTCTTTTCCTCTGTTTAGACAGCAGCTTATGCCACACTGCTTTTTTGGACCGCTGAGGATGCTCAACCTGTTACATAAAATACACATGGCAAAATAAACAATGTGGCAGTGTCCTTACTGTCTGGGCAGTAATGGTAATAAAAATGTGAGGTAACAGATGAATCAAGCGGAAACGTAACAGAATTATAACAGATGGAGAAAAGTGTTCTAGACAGAGATCAAATGATCAGCCAAACGGTAGAATAAGAATTTAGAATATAAACTTAAAATCAAAAATCTCCTTTTCCTTGTCTTTTGTGTAAACGTCTTTGTGGGAGGTTTGTTTCTTTTATAGATGACAGTGCTAGTGGAATAATAGGTCCTTTGCTCCCCAACATCACCAAAGGATCCAGGGGAAGTTAGCATCTCTACCCTTAAAGACTTGGTGATTCTCATTTGTAATAAAATAAGGCATTTTATTTGAAATATGTAGTGACGATGACGTTTATGTACTCATTATTCAACCCAAACATAGTTATCCCAGAAGACTTTTCTAGTTCAGTGCAATGCAAAAAATTATTCATAGTTAAACAAACAATTAAACAGAATAAAACACTACTAAGCATTCAGTGAAATGGATAAATACACTTATAAGATTAAATGGTGACATTCTGTAATAAGTTCCTTCCAAAAGATAAAATACTAATTAAATATATTTGTTAAGACAAAGGATAGAAAAGCATTCACTTTAAACATATAGTCACAAAACAAAGTCAGTGCTAATAATTTAGAAGTCAGACAAAAGCCCAAATACGTTAGTTAAGGTGATTAGTAGTATCTTCACAAACAACTATAAAACCCTCTATACTTTCCCAAAAGAAATAGCCTCGGCCTACGCAAGCAGATCTCTGAAAATGAAAACAAAGAAGTTAGCTGTACATGGAAAGAAAATACAAAGAACAAACTAGCAGCCAGCATTTACCTCACTACATAGTCATTTTTTTAAATTCAGTGGGAAGCATTGATCTGAAATGTAGATCTGGTATTACAATGGGAATCTAATCTGTTCTATACTACTGCTGGATTCTATACACTGAGATTGATCCTATGACAGAACGTGGAAAACACAAGGACAATACCTCAGGCGTCACTCTCTAGAATAATTTCTCCAAACTACACAACTTAATTCATATACATGATGTTAAATCTAAAATGCCAGAGATCAAAAGATTCTATATGCTGTTTTAACTCAAATACTAGAATCTAATGCTGAATTATGCAACTCTGTACATGTTAACAAATTTCCTCTCAGCTTGGTTAACTTAGATTAAACATGAGTAAAAGAGAAGACTTTTTGCCCCTCATGTTTCTAACTTTCCTCTGCTCTTTATTCTTCCTCACAGCCACACTGTATTCTTTCAAATCAACACCCTTTCTCCTGTCTCTCCCTCTCTACTAGGATAACCATGATTGCCATGGATTTACTTCAATATTCTACCACTTTTAGCTTGCTCCACACATATTCAATTACACGTAAAATTTAGTAGCTCCTTTTCATCCTCTTCTATCAAACTGTGTAGGGCTGCTGACCTTGAAACAAGCCCATATTAAGGCTGGAGAACTATGTGACGATGACTTGTGTGATGCAAGCACCAGGTCACAGGTATTCACATCAACATACTTTGTGTATTCCGAGATTTCTGAAAGACACTTTTAGCAACCAAATGCTATATACAAGCACTTCCATGTAACAACTTGATTCCTACTTGACTGAATCAGTGATCTCATCATAATATGGAAAGTTCCTGATATGGGGTCTGAAAACCTGTGCCAAGTTTCTGAGTGAAACCAACTAATCTAATGAGAGAGCGAAAGAGCTTTGGATTTGCAAATGTTCTTTGAAAAGGAAAAAAAATAAACCCTGGGCAAATTGTATACGTAGTCAGTTAATAGTCTGTGGCATAACCAGCAGCACTCATGTCTGCCACCAGGAATACCCTTCAAGTTAGTGCGCTGTTTCTTCAGTACATTTTAAAAAAGGAAGTCTAGAAAGCACAGAACAATTCTGTAGTTCAAAATAGGTAACAATTTGGCAAGTAAAATGGAAAAACTAGATTTATCAAGTAGTCTTTGACTTGTAAAACCTACCAACATAGGGGATTTTTTTAATTTCAAAATTTAAAGAATGAAAACCTTAACAATAAGTTATACTCTTGTCCAAAGGGAAGGAAAAAAACAAAAACCAGAAACAACCTACCAACACCAAACTCCCAGACTCTTGAGATTTTTCTGAATTTTAATGCCAGTTTGATTTTCTAAATGTTTTTATTCTTGCCCACATTCAGACAAACTTCATACAGATTTTGTCAAGTGGACATTCTTCTTATACCTTTTCAAAATAGCACATAGTAAATAGCTTTCTAAAGCTATAACTAGAAAAGCTGTGTATCATAACAGCTAACTGTCCTACTCCATACAATTACAATATGCAGCTTCTAACCAGGTATTTATGTAGTCAGCTTTAATAATACTTAAATAATTCAAGAAGCTCAATTGAGGAAAAACACCTTGAAATAAAGGCATTTTTTAATCATTAAGTTGTTGGTTTACTCATATTTCATAGTCCACTGGCAATTTAGCTATTATTTCCTGCTAGGTGAAATGCACCAGAAGAAAGCTACAGCACAGGTATCACTTTCTTCATCCCTTTCCAAATAAACGATTGTTGGAGCTGATGCAAACCCACTGTGTGACTGACATGACTACAGCATATAACATTAAAGACAGCATGTGAATGCATAAGTGAAAGCCTGAATACTCCTGTTTAGATTAAGAAGCAATGGAATTGGGAAAATATGTCTAACCTGTTCCAGGTGAAACAGTACATTAGCTATATCAAGGACCCTTTCCACAGTCTTCTCTGGATCTGAAGAATCTTCAGTCCTGTTTGGTAAATCTTTGTAAAGTGCCATCTGCCACCTAATGGCGGGATCCTCAAGCTGCAGGAGAAAGATTTCACGTGTCACCAAGGAAAAGTGTGCTAACATAGGGTCAAACAGTTTAATTAGCATAGAAGCTGCTTCAAAGAACAACAGAAGCACTGTAAATGGCTAACCCACATCTTTACATGGCTAACCCATAGTGTCCACTACACAGACTGGGAGAACAAAACTAAAGACTGATTTGTACAGTGCTTCTTGAGAGCTTCCAGAGGAAGTCTAATAATCATACAAAGAACAAATGATCATGGGCCAGTAAACAGCACTGGCAACAGCAATTAATATATTATTTGAGGAAAAGTAATGAGTATGAGGTAAGTAGACATAACTACACTGGCAGTCCAGTTACTAAACCAAACAAATTGTTTCTCTATTAGTTGGGATTATTTAGTTTTCAGTCATGCAAATCAGTAATACCAATCTTATTTATGTTTAATATTTTTATTTGTTTTTTCAATTGTTATAAAATCCTAATTTTACTGATTGCTATCTAAAAACTGAAAAGTTAGTTTATGAAAATGAATTCAAGATGCATTTTCCTACAAATCGTAAAGAACTCTATGTAAAAAAATGTGGGCTTTTTTTCTTGTTTTTCACTTTGCATTTCATTTTTTCCATTTCAGTGATCTGTGATTCTCTGTTTAACCAGTACCAATGTCTTTTTTAGTTCGTCTCCCCAGTGCTTCTGCTAATCAACACTGATGCAACATACTTTATGACCCCTTTTTGTGCCAATGACACTGAAGGCAAATGCAATGCGTCACCCATTTTACTGAGAGCTGTGGCCAGTGATCATTCCTGATTGTGCAATTTAGGTTTACATCATGGTTTACATCATGCTGGCCTGGATTTCTAGAGTATTTAGGAGCCTAAACCCTACAGACTCAAATAGGGCTTAAACTCAACACTTACTTTTATAAAACATCTTTGTGGATCCAGATTTCAATTTGTGCTTAAGATGAGACAATAATGCTAATTTACTGCCACAAAACATCTTAAGATACACAGTTTAGTGAAGTTCCAGGAATGATTATAAACTTACACAGTCGCTCAATAATAGTTTATTACAACCTAGAAAGCCACAATTGGCAGGCATTTCTTCCACCTTTCGGCTTTTCCATTTCTTAACTGTCACATCCATAGTCTTTGTGTGAGCATTTGACTGGATTGTCATGAATGTATAGTCCACAAAAGATTTTTTAATCACAGGTGGAGATGTCTTTTGATCTGAGGACTCCTCACATTCTACCAAGGTACAGCTTTTTTGTATAGGTAGTTTTCTAAGGGTATGAGTAGTTGACATTTCAAGGTGTGAATTAGCATGGCTGGAAGAAGATTTTGGTGACTTGAGCTTCATCCATGTCAAAATGAATGCAAGTTTCATCATCAATTTCTTGAAATAAAAGGCTCGGTACTGAGTAACAGCATGCAGGCATGCAAGGAAAGGAAAGACAGAAACAGGGTGAAGACAAATGTAGACAAAGGTAGACAAATGCATGAAATAGACGCCACAACATTAATAGCTAGATTCAGAAGGATGATTCTCAAACAGTGCAGTTCTCCAAAAAGAAATCAAGATAAATTACATTTTAGTGATAGAACATGGTGTCTGAGAAGCAAAAGTGGTTAACAGAAAACCATTTGAAGAAAGAATATTGCTATGGCTGTAAGAAAACCAGCCTTTCCAGTAAGTGGTATTTTTCCTGTTTCAAAAGCCACCCTACACCAACACCATTATAACTAAGATACATATTCATTCATTACATTAAATAATAATTTAAATTTATAAGACCATTTGCCCTACATTCCTTTTATGTCTGACTTAGACAACAAAAGGTTAGCGTATGCATATAGCACAATGGCATATTTTTCTTGACAAGAAACATCATACTTGACTGCATCTGAAGTGTACTTGATTCAGTCATGATAGTGACTGAATACTAATGACATTGTGGAATAAATTACATTGTACTTTGTAAATAACTACTGAATTTAACTTCATACATTATACTTTTAAATAATTAAGTTAAACAGATAGGTTTAATGTGAACTCTAGAATGTATCAGTGTATCAGTGCTAAATAATTCATGAAAAGATGTATTTCAAGCCACTGAGAACAAACTACTTAGCACTAAATACAAATCATAATAAAGATAATAAATACAATAACAAATTGAAGTTTTGAAATTACATGTTTTGTCCGTAATTGAGTTGACTACTTTTCTCATACATGTCAAAAACAGAGCTTTTCAAAGTTAATAAAGCAATGTGTAGGTAGCTACAAAATAAAGCTAGCTACAACAGCTATTTAGCTTTGCTAGCTACATTTATTTGGTTCCCATTCAGAATGTCATCTTCTACTGGGAACTCATTTTACAATTAGGAAAATCCAATGCCAGTGCTGAAAATTTTACAACTGGAAAATCCTTCAGTATATACTTGGATTAGCTACGATTACTTCCTTCTTAACTATCAAGGCACCATGAAATTTCACCTATATAAGAATTTTTAATATATATTTATTCCCATGTGTTTGAAACAGAGGAGGTGATATATTCCTGAATAATAGCAAACTTTTAATTGAACCAAAGGAAGTTCCTGAAGAGAAAGCACAGATCAAGGTATTAAGTATCATTATTCTAAGGCAACCAAGCAGCGACAGACAGAAAATTCTTAATAGCTGTATGCAGAATGTAACCCTGAAGAAACAACAAACTGAAGTATTTGAAACAGGAGGACAAGCACTGAGAAGCAGCATGAAATGCCAGACAAGAATTAAAACCGCATGGCTCACAAGGAGACAATATATGAATACTGAAAATGTCAGAACAGAAATACCTATCTTCATCACTAAGAAAATATTACTGAAGTTCACACACAAAATCACACTTTTAAGGTCTGTATGTTCATGGCATGCACATTGCTTAAGTACTGCTGCTCATTAAGATCTTCATAAATGCTCTTTTCTTTCTAGCACTTTGACTATATGGTTTATTCTGCTTCTTAGTATATCAGAGAATCATAAATCGTAGACTCATAGAATAGTTTGGGTTGGAAGGAACTTTCAAAGGCCATCTAGTCCAACCCCCCTGCAATGAGAATGTCTCCAGGGATGGCGCATCCACCACCTCTCTGGGCAACCTGCTCCAGTATTTTACGACCCTCATTGTAAAGATTTTTTCCTCACATCCAGCCTGAAATATATAACAACATTTGCTATATAAATGTTTCAAGCTTTTGATAGGATTTAACCGAATCTTTTATTTTCAGTAGTAAACTTTCCTATGTGCAATCCCTATAACTTCAAACTATTGGACTTTTATTTGCAATATTTTATGAAAAACACTGTTAGCTTTGCAAAATGATGTATCCTTCTTGTGAGCTCTGAGAAACCCCAAACTTCACAAAATACTGCTTGAATCTTCAGATATTATTCAGGAAAAACCACCCCATTACCAAGTCTTAAAGAAAAAAGAAGAAGAAACAAAACAAAAAACGATACTTTTTGCCATGCACTGAATTGCAGTGGAATCTAGACTTCTGGATGATTCTTATATATGCTTTCAGAAGGGAAAAAAAAAAAAGCCAAATTTCCCACTCACATGTTTATTGTCTTATAACCATTTAATGAGCACAGAAAATACTAGTTAGTTTTTTCCTTGAGGTCAATAAAATCTGGAGTGGGGGGAGGAGGTAAAGGACAATCCTAAATAAAGCACCATCCATAGGTCTGATTGCATCTTTCTTCAACAGAGAAGAAACGTACATCATTTTATTACACTTCTATATTATGGCTGCTTCTTTGCCACTATCTGAAGCATTAACAAAATAGTTCAGCTACACTGGGCCAGTTCAAGACTTCTTCCTTAGAGCTATTCATCTGGAACTAGCTGGAATTCCATAACAAAAATGTACACTTTTCCCAAAATACTTTCTTTTTCCTGGGTGAAAAATAGGAACAAAACTGAGCAAAGTGGAGATTTTTCACTTTACAGAGTATGCCAAGGTGGCAGCTTCCTTTTACTTTATGCTTCAAACTGATACAAAATAACTTTGAGCATTTTGCAGCTTCTATCCTGAATAATAGAAGGCAGAGTTTAAACAGTGGTAAATCTCACTTCCATCTCCAATTTCATAGTAATGTGCATAGGCAGGGATTTGAAGGGACACTTGTAACTGTATATAATGCCTATAAACACATTAAAACCCTAACATTTAATAATTTACATGAAAAAGTTACTTGATGAAAGAAAGAAAGGGACTACAAGTAATCATAATGAATCAAGACAGGCTGTCATTATATAGCACCAACAAATGAATTAAAGGGAAGAAAAATCATGTTTAAAAACAGCATATAGATTACCTTGCCCTGGAGATGAAGATTACTACGGATGATATCTCGTACTTCATCTTCAGTGTCTTTCTGTCAATAAAGTACAAATCATATAAATTAGGAACAGAAGGTAATCAGAAGAAGGAATATAAGGCATTATTCATACAAATGTCAACCTTGGGCTTAGTTCAGACGATGAATAAAAGTGACTGTGAAAGACTGAGAGGAATCTTAGTGGTGATACGTCTTTTTCTATCAGGCCACAGCTAGCTATACCCAAGCTCACAGGAACAAGGTCTGGACAGCATCATTCGTACTTTTTCACAGTAACACACAAAATGCAAATCTGAATTAAAATTACTAGTATATACATATATACATACTTCAACCAGAGTTTGACCAAATGGAACCAGAATCACAAACACAGGCTTCTCTGATTTTTTTTTTCCTTCTGGAGATCTTTTTTCCTTTATAAGCATTCAATTCAGCTGTCCAAAGGTCATATAACCCACTAGGGTGTATAAGGCAGCATAACTTGAGAAAGGAGCATATTCCAAACTACAGACACATTATTTCACCGTGATTTTACTCCTACGAGAATCACTTTTAAGGCAGTCTATGCTTACAGAAATTCTTGCATTTACATGGGTATGATCAAAAGGAATGAGCTATGATACTGGACATAGAAGTTAGGAAACATCTAGCTCTTATATGCATTTCCAAATTTAATCTTCATAAAATACAACAAACGCAATTTAAACATTAAAAATTAAGAAAGAGAAATAACTGTTTTAATTTAAGAACAGTATCTCTATTCATATAGACATTCATTTAGGAAATAAATCTGTCCAGACTGAAATGTTTCATGCGCTGAAAATATGTGGATTATAGTCTACCATAGTGCCTTTATACAACAGAATTATAGTCTTGATTATTTGTGTCCTGCTATAAGAATGAGGATGGGGGAAAATACTCAAAGAATGTAATTACTAAATTATTACTAAATAATAGTAAAATATTTCTACTTTTAAAAAATGCAAAAAGACCACCTACCATACTGAAGCGATTTTTGGCCAGTGCAATTAGCTCCTGGTCTCCAGGAGCACAAATGTTTAGGCCAATGGGAAGTAATCTCTTCAGTGCTGCTACAATGAGAGAAGTCTGCATAGAGTATCGGTCACCTTTTCGCTTCATCTTTTTTCTCTCCTGGTCAGAAACTGCTGCCTGCAGCATAAAGCAAAGATGTAAAAGAATCCAATAATTAATAAAAGAATTGCCCTAGCAACTTTGCACTTGCGTCTGGTTTTCCCTTTCTACCTATATAGCTGCAACCCTATCCAGTGGAACTGCAGTTATATAGTTGTTAACATTTTGCACCAATATCTTGAAAGTCCACTGTATTTGTCAAATGACTATGTTTTGATTTTCAACCCAGTATTTTCAACAGATATCATTACCAAAAAATGAACAAACAGAAAGTCATTCTCTGTAGTTCTCCTCTCTCTTTCCC